GTCCTGGTCCTGGTCCTGGTCCTGGTCCTGGTCCTGGTCCTGGTCCTGGTCCTGGTCCTGGTCCTGGTCCTGGTCCTGGCCCTGGTCCTAGTCTTAGTCCTGGTCCTGGTCCTGGTCCTGGTCCTATCCCAGCTTTTTCATCTTTCCTCTCTTGGTGTTACTTGCCATCGTTATTCATACACCTGAAGTCACAGAAACTTGGCGATTCTTCTCACTCTTCGTCTAAGCAAACGTAAGGTAATGGCAGGTTCTTGAGCCTCAGAACTTTTGATCCGTTTTCACTGGCAGTGACCCTAGCACCTCCATACATGGCAACTTGATGGACGAAACTTTAGTGGCGTACCCAAGGGGGGGAATAGGGGGGTCAGGAACCCCCACTTTTCTAAATAATGGTCCTCGAGATTTGTCCAAAAGCGATGTAAAACTCATGGGGGGGGGGGGTAGTATATTGCATGCTTGTGTCAATAACAGTTGTAAAATACTTTGCTATTTACCGTGGCTAACATGAACATACATACCCCCCCCCCCCCGAAGTTTCCATCAGGTGTGCAAGAATCTTTAGGACCAACTTTCTGAAAATATAGGGGAGAATAGTCCACCCATTCCCCCGATTCCACCGCTGGTTTTAGCCCCTCCAATCTGTAATAAGATCCGCGGTCCTTAATTGTAGCAGTTGGTAACAGATAGTTTTTAAGTCAATTTTTTGTAGTTTCAATAGTTTTGGCTCTAATCTGATATTTTAGGGCTGCCCATCTATTTTTTTAGATTTCTTCCCCGTATGTTATCAAATCCTCCCCTGAGAGCATACTTCGCCGGTTCGAAGTTTTTTGTGTTTGTACTGGAGAAAGGGACCTCTCGCTTTGGAACGCTGCGTAGTTGTCACTGCGATGCTCATAAATATTCAGCCTCCTCATTGAAGAGGCCTAAATCTCGAAGACTGATTGACGAATGGGTTGCTGTTTTTCTGCGCTGTGCAGGTGACATAAACACTTCTGTGGTTTCGAAGCCAGAAATTATTGGATTGTAATCATGGTGTGGATAAAAGTGGATGTGCAGGTGCCATCTATTGATATGACTTTCTGCTTGATGTGGTAAGAATTCGAGCGCACCACGAGTTGTAGCGAACTTGCACGACGTCTTATTCGGACATCACTGCGGCCACATCCGTTCACTTTGTATGTGGATGGTTGGCCTGTGCAGTTCGTAACTTGAATTGCGAAATCATCATGAATTTAACTAAGATTTGATAAACGAACGCTAGAGATTCATTGGATTGATTTCACGTTATTGGGGAAATGGCGTTCTCTAGGAACCTTTTATTAATTTACTGTCTGGTCAATCATCTAACATTTGGTGGTGCTCGGAGAAGTCAATCATTCAAAACTTACTGGAGAAAGTCAAGTGAGTCTATGGTACGTGAAAGAAGGAATACAGAAGGTTCAGAGAAGGAGAGAACTTTGAACAAACAGAAAGAGGTGGTCTTAGGCCTTCTTATCCCATACAAAGTGACCGGTGGTGCTGATCTTAGTGGTTATAGTGGAGGGGAATACTACGCAGCAGCCTTCATGCTTGCAATAGAAGATATTAATAACGATACAATGCTGTTGCCGAACATCAAAATTCGTTACGTATGGAATGATACAATGTGCTTGGTTGATCTTGCTATAAAGAGTCAATTATGGCAGCACAGTTCTTTCCAAGGTGAAGAGCGTACTGGTGTTGACGCCTTTATCGGCACAGGTTGCAAGTGCACGACAGTTGTGAGGAATGCTGTTGCTCTTAACATGCCAATTATATCACATGTAAGTGAAATGACAAACCTATGCCTTCGATTGTCTCGTCCTTCCCTTAAAAATGAAGCAAATGCATTTTTGTTTCTTGCCAATATTGCGTTGGGATTTCAATTAAGATCTCTATTTTTATATTTTCGGAGACCGGCACAGCAAAGGCTTAAACTTAAAGCTTCTGTAAAAGCTGAAAATATTCTAATCGCTTGTGAAATTTTCTTTCCTTCTCAATTTTGTTGTGAAAATTAAAACCTGCAGCTTTACAGCTTAATCCTAAGCGCAGCATTTCAAGGATGATATTTTGATGTATGATTCCTGATTAAAAAACAAAGGATAAAAGCTATATAAACAATGCAAACAAAATTACACTTCAGATAGATTTTGTTTACTTTAAGATGTTTGGTTTCCTGTCAGAATAGATTCCAGAAGTGCATTGCCTGGCAATTAATCATTTAAATTACGATAGTCATTTTGAATTGCAATAAATCTGAATTGTCATATATTTTGAAGCATTGAAGTTTATGGCTGTTTAACATGAAAAATTGTTGCCATTCGGAAGTGAAAATTATTATCCAGCAAACGCAAATCTAACATTCCTCATCCTTGACATATTGAAGTCAGAATGAACCATTAAATAAATTTTCTTTCATGTTAAACATTACCTTATTCTGACGTTTTATGCTCTGAGGAGTGTCAGACGAAAAAGCTTTAAGTATGTTTTAAAATGTTTGCTTTTTTCAAAGCCATTTTCAAATTCTGTACCGCAAAAAAATTGTTTAAATAAATTTATAAGCCTAAAAAAGCTATGAATTTATTCTAATATTTCTCCAATACATAAGTTTCCTTGGTATTATAAGAAAAATCTCACATTTGTCATTTTGAAAGACGTAACCATTACACAAACCAAACCATTACAACAGACTTATCCAGTATCTGGCCTTCAAGCAAATTATCGCCAAGGTCAAATTTTTCACATCTCAGCCTGTGCCTTCTGTATAGAAATTCAGTCCGTATTTATGGCCTACCAAGACTCGCACAATTCCATCCAGGCTGGAAAAGTATTTTAAGTTTTAGTACTAGGAATGATACATTTATATATTTGTGGATAAATTTCCTTTCTTGCATTTTTCACAGAAAATTAATTTCTCCCAAATTTCTAGATAGGATTGATTTTTCTATGTAGAAAGAATGAAAACACTCTATGGTAGTGTACTGATTTCCAGGGAAGAATGTAATGAATATAAAAGCCTTCTGTTTTTATGCAAATGAAAAGCTAAGAAAAAATTTGCTTGTAATTCAGTTGTCACTTGATTTCTGTAGCAAAATGATGAATGCTCAAAGACTGTAGCAAAATGATGAATGCTCAAAGTCTGAGTAACAAAGTGTTTGCCCAATTTTTCAAGAGACTGTTGCCTTGTTTAAGTAAGATGCAAAAGAATAAAACAATAATATTTTCTTTTTGAAGAAGTTAAAATTTATGTATATAGCTTTCAAATAAAATTGCAATGAAGCACTGTATTTCTATGCTATATTTTTTTCAAAATAATTTCTTCAGCAAGTGTTGGTCCTTTAGCACTTTAACTTGATCAAATTTTGCTCTTTTAAAAATATTAGGTGTATATCCTTTTCATAAAGTTAGGATTTCCATTTTTAGAAGTTTTTTACATCTAAATGTATAGAATTGTATAGAATCTTCATGCTTATACATTGGCTGGGAAATATTATATCTATACTTTTAGATGGTCAAACACAAAAAGACGTTTTGTTGACAAAATCTGGTTAAATTAGGCTACAGACCCCCTTCACCTCTTGTAACTACCATATTTTGCCATGTATAAAACGCATCCTTGCATAAGACACATCCTTAATTCCATGTTCGAATTCTGAAAAAAAGTTTTTACTGTGTTTTACTGTGTATAAGATGCAAACCCTTTTTACAGTTCTTGTAAGGCATGTATCTTTCAGTGAAAGAATAAATATTGGAATACTACAGACACTAACTCTGTGGAGAAAAAATCCTCTAAACTGCAATGTTTAAAATATTACATTATGTTAAACTAGTATGATTAAAATCATTGAGTAGAAAGTTTAACACCATAAATTAATCAAAATCATACTTAATGTTTACAAATTCCAAAATCCATAAAATTCTTGTTTACCAGCTGTTTTATGCACAATATTCACAACAATTACAGTGATGTGCCTTCCAAGTAAGAGAATGCAGGGTACAACCCTTTCATTTGTGAGTAAAAAAGCTTTTGTCAGGTGATTTTTTCCATCGCGCCTGGAGAATCTCAAAGTTTTTTCGAAATTTCCAGTAAAAGTGTGATTATTCGAATTAAGAGAACAGGTGCTCTAAATATCATAATATTTTGTCTTTAAAATAACACCTTGCCTTCTAAGTAATAATTCGGAAAAAGCTGTGTCTTATACACAGTAAAAAATATGTTATACATATAAGTTAAGTCGAAAAATATGTTACATTTTAAAGAAATGTCATGGACATCTTTTTAACTTTGCTGAATCCTGTTCAGTGGTTTGCTAACCAAATTTTTCCATAGCATATTAAATATGATTTGAAGTTTGATATTTGACTGCAGAAAAATTCATTTTCGATATGATTGAAAGAGAAGCCATTTAACAATCGTGACTAATCAAAAATCATTGATATTTGCATAAAACAGGAAAGCAGTGACAATGGTGATAAGATTAAACTCTACCTTATTTTATTACTGTGTCAATAATGTATAAAAATCTGTCTGCTCTAGTAAAAAGTAATAAGTTGGCTTGGATTAAATGTTAAAAATGGGCGTTTTTTACAATGGGTTGTTCTTTATGACCAGCTACATACTTTAAGAACAAAATTGAGAAAAAAATGTATGGAACCATGTATGCTAAGAATGATGACCTGTCAAAATCTGTTAACCTGAATTGACCTCAACACTCTTGTATGCTTTAGGTGGGTTTATTTTAGTTTGAGCTGTGTCATTTGTAAGAAACTAACCATCAGGGTGAACATAGATTCACAAGCCTTTTCTTAATAAGCTTTCTTGAAAATGTGTCAGAGTGGTCACTTAAGTTTTGAAGAATTTTTTTAATTGTTATTGCAGACCTGTCTGAAGTTGTTGTTTTCAAAGCTGCTATAGACAGCAATAAAATTATGGCTAATTTTGTTACTTTGTCAGCTTTTTCATTGCGAAAACAGCAGCCAGTTTTTTTGTTACATAACGAACTTGATATTATCTTGTTATATTATAAGTTGGGCTCTTTTCAATCAAGTTTTGTTATTTGAGATTTTTTGGTCGTAAAAACCACAGGCAATTGATAGCCTTGTAAAGCATAGCCTTATAAGGTTTTTTACTGTTAACATTGTATATTCAGCTGTACATTGTGTACATCGTATATTCCAAAGCTTTTTGCATGTACTGTGCTTGTCATTCTTTTGTAGATGTGCCTGGATCCTGAGCTAGCCAATAGAACAATTTTCCCTACCTTTGCTAGAACTGCAGCGATGTACAAGCATTTGACCCCAACCCTCATTGCCTTACTTGATTCTTTCAAATGGAAAAGGGTTGCAGTTTTTATTGAACGGACAGCCTTAGACGAAGATGCTGCCGAATATGTAGTAAAGAAGATGAAGAGTGAAAATATTACTATAGCAATAAAAAATTATCTGCCAAGTCCGCCGAACCATGTACCAACTCTTGATGACAACCATGAACTCGTTATCAAAATGAGAGAAGCAAAGAGGAAAGCAAGAAGTAAGCATCAATTTAAATAGCCTGTTTGCTTCTGTGCAGTTTGGAAAGGGGCAAGTTGGAAATGTAAATGATAGCCAGTGATTTCTGTATGAGTCTGCGCTATGGTGTTAGACTCGCATGGTCGATTGTTTAGCTGATCTTCCTTACTGTCATTAATGTTGGATTTTAAAGGCCATTCAGAAGTTAAGTAACTCGAATACAAGCATAAAGGCATCGCACCTGTGATTCTAGAATGAATGAATGATTTTGGGTCATTGGTGGTTTTCTAGTTTAAATTATTTATTGGTTTTGATTTGAGGCTGTAAGTGGTCAATTCATACCATTTAATCTCATAAATCCTTTGTGAAATCCTGAAAGTCTTACGTAGGTCTCAGTTTTCTTTAGCTACAGGTAAATCAAATCCTGTTTGTTCCTACGCCTACCTCACTCTTTTGCTTGACATGAAAACTGAGTCACATTGCAATCGGATTCATTGTCAGAAGAATTCATTGAACGACGAAGTGCATACTTAAATCAAATTGTTTACCGTGCCTTGTTCTCTGATACGCTTAAAATACGATATAAATTAAGTGACCAAGCATATTCCCACTCAACTGGTAAATGATACCCACTCATCCAATGATATTATTCATCGCATTTAAAAGAGGATTCAGACTTCCGCCCCGAAATAGATTTTTCTTCATGTATGATAAAATATGATTGCTTAAGAAAGTGTCCTCTTTGCATTTCTACTCTGCTTTCCGCTCACGTGATATTCACTTCGCTTCGCAGCTCTTCCAGCTTCTAGTACTAGAATTACATTTTAAAATTTCATCAAAGGATCTTGTTTAATTTCGAAACCTTATTTAGCCTTCCAGGAGTAAAAATTATGACATATTTTACTTGATTTGTTTAATATGCCTTCGACATTGCAAAAATGACATTGCAACATAACCGATCGTATTGAAAGTCTTTCGCTTTCTTTCAGTAATTCTGTTTTTAACAAGTTACCCAACGGCTAGAGAAGCAATGCTGGTTGCCTTCAACGAGAGCATGACCAAAGGAGATTACGCTTTTATCATATGCATGAAAGATGTCGATGAAGTCAAGAGGAAACTCAAGCACCAATTTAAGTGGTACATTTCGCATTACACCGAAACTCTGCATACTACAAGGGACGTAAAAAAGGCGCTCGATGCAGCGCTAATTCTTGCGCCGAAAATGCCAGCTGTGTCATACGGTGCATTTGTCGATCGCCTTCGAACAACAATGGGCAAGGCTCCATTCTATAGTAGTGCTTACATAGGAAAAATCAATGGAACGCATATGGACAAGTCTCAAAGCCAGGTAGTTTATTTATATGGTGATTCCTCTGATTTCATATGAAGGCTTTTTCAAAGAGAATTCTTGTTCAGTAGAAAATAATTGTCGCATAGTTGTAGACTATAATGCCTTTGGGGGGAGGGGAGTTTACGGCTCTCTGTGTGTAAAAAAGATTCACTCTTATTGTCCTTTTCGCCCTCCACATATCCTTTGCTGTCACGCATGCTATTATTTGCAGTAGCTGTCACGCGTGGAATGAGTGAATTTCTTAGTAACTAAAGGCAGGGACCACGACATATTTCATTTCAATTTCGCATTTAGAAATTTTTAGAAAACCATACTCAACTTCACTTGGTTTTTTCTTTTGATTTTGAGATAGAAAATTTTAATTGCAGATAATTTTCTTTAAAACATTTATACTTTTACTAAGATATCATTTGCTCCTGTTCCATTTAAAAAAGATTACAATAACAATAATTTTCAAAGTGAGATGGTACAACTTGTTTTGTCTTTCGACTGAATATTGCTTCTTTTCTTTAATTGTTGCAGTTATTTTCTATTTGCATTTGCTGCGTTTTTTAACGAAAAATGTCGTATTTGAGATTCCTTGTAAAAGTGACAAAAATTTTCCTTGTACAGTTTTCTTACGTTCTTTTGCATTGCTTCTTCAAATTGCACTCTTGAGTTGCTCTCTGCTGCCGTTGACCCTTTCTTTCCCGTCGAGTTAATCCTATTTTCAAGGCAGTGCTATGTTTTTCTAGCCACCTCCTTGGGGTGCCAGAGCGTATGATGCTGTCAAACTGTATGCACTTGGTTTGAACAGATCCCTTCAACAGGGCAACTCTATCCGGAATGGAAAGGCTGTTATCGATAACATTCGCTCGACTACCTTTAAAAGTAAGCACCTTAATTGTAGGTTTATGTCTATGTAGATCAACTTAAAAGCATCCTATGCGGTTTATATAAAGAATATTTCTATAAATTTACTCGCTATGCACAGTAGAATGTAAGCTTGCCTTTAAAGAATAGTAGATATAATTTCTCGTCATATTGGTGAATCCATTTTTTGCTACTGCGGCACTGAATATGCAGCCAGTGCCCTGGTGATTGTCAATATATTAAGCATTGTCCTAGTGACGATCTCCCTTGAATTTCCCGTCACATATTTACTGGTGTTCTATTGGTTGTTAAAAGACTTCTAGGCCGCCTCGTAAACATTTGATGTTATCAGAATGACTTCTTGTGTCCGAAACATATGATATCCCAGCAACCTTAGTTTTAAAGTTTTATTTCAGTTTGAAAAATGACATGCGTTGGTAATAAAAGTTGTCGGCCAGCGGAATTGATCCTGATTTGTTTACTTTCAGGCATTCTAGGGCATGATATTTACGTCGATGAAAATGGACAGGTCGAACTTAATTACACTGTTTTGGATAAAAGAGGAGACCGTAAGTGTAGCATACACTTCACAGAGAATCGACATTGCTACAATTATTGCCATGTTGTACTGTTTCTTTGTACCTAGCGCAAGATTTGTGCCCTTTGTGCCAGCGAGGAAAGATACCATATAACGAGAGAATGGCTTGCAGTTTGAAAAAGTTAGATTTTGACCAACCTAAGATTTGTTGCAGGAGATACGACCATCCGTGACCAAAACCGATCGACTGTGATTTTCCCCATTTTTGCCAGGATAAATAAATCTAAAAATGACATGTTTGAATTTGTTTTTTATGTTAATAATGTTGTAGAATTTGGTATTGTGAAAATGGAGAATGTGATGGTCATGATTGTGATTATTACGGTTATGGAAAAGTCGTAGCAGACAAGTTTCTTTAATTTGGGTATAACATTAATTTGAATTGTTTCACCTTGTAGTTATAGAGCAAGTTGGGGAATTCGTCTTGGAACACCCACCTGTCACCAACAGTACAAAGGTTAAAAGAAAAGTGAAGCTGGTGTTAAAGAAGGAGATACAATGGCCAGGATTGGGCAAAGCTCCTCGTGACAGCCCCGCATGTGGGTTTGATGGTGAATTTTGCTTGCCTCCTCCGCAGAAGGAAGACAAAAAGGGTAAACATGATTGAGTACTCGTTGCCTGGGTATTGTTAGCAGGTCACTAATGAAAGAGTAACCAGTCCTGTCATAGCAGATGGTCTGTCAGATCAACAGTGGTGTTGTGGATATTACAGATTAGGCCATTTAGTTACAATCATATCTAGTTGGCTGCAATTTTCTCCCTTGCAAGGAATTCGATTTTATTTGCCCTTTTGAGCCTTTTATTTCTACGTGTTTGAAGGCTGATTACGTACTGTCATCTGTTGCCATTTTTGGAGGATGCTCTAATGACGTCACGCATTTGTGTTGTTTGCTATTTAACTTGTTTCATAACCATGTCTAATGTCACGTGTTTTCTCGCCTGTAGATCATCTTTTTATGGCTATTGCTGTAGCGCTGTCGATAGTGGCAATCGTGCTTTTTATCATTCCAGTTGTTATGTACAGGTACGTTTATACGAATGCTAGCCATTTCTAACTGCATGCTTTGCATCCTTGCATCGAATGCTAGCCATTTTTCGCAATCCCTTAACCATTGCACTTATTTTCAAGAACCCTTGCCTAATGGTGAAAAATTTCGTAAGCAGTTGTTTGAAGAAGTTTCACGTGTTGATTGGACTGTTTTCGTTGTAACTTTTAGGCAATACAGACTCGAACGCGAGCTTACAAGCCAACTTTGGAAGATTGATCCGAACGATCTGTACGTTTATGATGGAAGAGCTCCTTCGTGCTCATCATTTGGAAGCATCGTAAGTCTTTAAACTCGCATGTTCTTCTGCTGGATACAATGTATTCACCAAGCACTATGTTTTTTGTTGTTTTTCTGTCGTTCTTACCTCCTTCAGCGTCTGTTGTTAAGGCTGAAATACACGATCAGTTTAAACTGTCAGTTTTCACTAAAATCATTCTTGAAACTAAATGGCTGGCAAAGCAAAGCACATCGAACAAACAAATTTTTTAGGCACCTAACAATGCTGGTTTTTGAAGCCATGGTTTATCCCACGAGAATCTTTCCTTCCGTTTTGAATCTTTCTTTTTTCGTTTTGAAACTACAGCTATAACTAATGCCACAGCAGCAACGTCTGTGTCGCTGTTCATCGTGAAAATGAAGAAGAAATGAAGAAAAGTAATACTAGATCATCAGTTTTGACTGATCGTGTAAACGAGTAGATGGATCAGTCAAAACTGACAAAAAAAATCTGTGAAATTGAAACTGATCAGTTAAAAACTTTTCAGCCTTTAGACAATCAGCTGCATCAACCTAGTCACCAAAGGTGCTTTTTGCATTCATTTTAATAAGAGCCAGTTTGGAGAAATGTGGCCTAATACTCGAATCTTCCATAATCATTGCGAAACATTTCGGATGAAAGTCAATAATTGTCTACAAGAAAACCAAACCATTTCAAAATCTTATCTAATCAAAGTATCATATTATAAATTTTTATACTCAATAATGAAGTTTTAAATGCTCCTTCTTTTCCAAAGTTTTTTAATTTACAGCCTGAGACATAGCATTAAAAACAATTTATGTTTTGCAGTTAAGTTTCATTCTTTTTGTTGGAATTGCAAAACGGCCTTTTTCTATTTGGAATCTTTTTCTCGATTTGGCAGGAAAGGATTTTTCAAATTAGATTTTCCAAGGAAGGCTATACATGGCTAAGTCAAAACAGCTAAGTTGAATTGTTAAATAGATAAAAAAGAGTGCTTGTTTTGCCAGTTATGAATGGGATGGTAAGGTGCTCTCCGGCAGATGGCATGACGCCTTCATGCTCTCATGTTATTAGCGTCCTGTTAATCGTTGAATAATGTTGATGCTAACATATGCTGTAAAGCATATTGTTCCCACTATCTCTTCTGGCTGTTGATGTGAGATCGTTTTCACTTCAGCTGTTTTTCTTGCTTTCTTTGCTGTGTAGCGAATCTACATGACATTTGCATTATTTATTAACTGGGGAGAACTGCTTCATGCATGGCTTTAACTGTTTCTAAAAAAGCTTGTTTTGGTGCTCAATATAATATAAAAGTCATATAAAATATTTATAATGGAATGATCAATTGTTGCTACCTTGTCTTCAAAATATTTGTTCACTGCTTTTCGATTTGCATGCAATTGTTGCCATTAATCAAAAGCAGAAAGGCAGCACCTACAAGGCACACTTGTCGCACTTAACATGCTAATCGAAATGAGCTGAAGATCATTCTTGACAGCAAGCTGCTTCCTAGCTTTTTAAATTATTTAAGACTTCTAATAAGATTTGGGTATAATTAACTAGAAATATTACACAGAGAGAGATATGCTTTGATTTTTTATTCTGGATATCTACACGAATTCCAGTCTGCTTTGGTCCAGCGATATTCGCTGACTTGAAATTTAGTCTTCCTCGATGCAATAAGAGCAGAACGCTTTTGGTATCAGAATGTTGATATTCCCAAACCTGTCAGATCAAACCCTTGTGCTAAAATTCATTCACAATCAATTCATTCACGCAATCAGATCGTTTCTTGTAGCAGCAGCAAATACAATCAAATTCATACTTCTCTATCAACTTTTTATCATTAAATGTTAAGTAATGCAGTTATAGCACTTGAGACTATACCGAAATCATATTGCATATTTTATTTGCTATTCTTTAAAAAAACCAGCATAAATTTCGATCTAACTGGCTTTCCCTAAGCCTTTAGTACTACAGTACTGTTATTTGTAACGGCTTATGGGTAGCCTATCATGCTCCCAATTGCATCTTCATTGTATGCCGTACGTACGTTGTCAAATGTTCTTTTTTATGAGAATATTGATATTGAACTACGTTATCAATTTTTGGCGGCTGCGNTCTCTGATGAGTGTCGCAAGCTAGATCCTCTCTGATGAGTGTGCAAGCATAGATCCTCTCTTTATGAGTTGAGCAAGCATAGATCCTCTCTTATGACAAGTGTGCAAGCAATAGATCCTCTCTGATGGGTGTGCAAGGCATTAGTCCTCTCTATGAGTGTGCAAGGCATAGATCTCTCTTATGGAGGTATGGGGGGGGGGGGCGGTGCAAGCATAGACTCTCTTTATGAGTGTGCAAGCATAGATCCTCTCTGATGAGTGTGCAAGCATAGAGCTCTCTTATGAGTGTGCAAGCATAGATCCTCTCTTATGAGTGTGCAAGCATATAGATCTCTCTGATGAGTGTGCAAGCATAGATCTCTCTATGAGTGTGCAAGCATAGATCCTCTCTTATGAGTGTGCAAGCATAGGAGGAATAGCCTCTCTGATGAGTGTGCAAGCATAGATCCTCTCTGATGAGTGGTGCAAGCATAGATCCTCTCTTATGAGTGTGCAAGCATAGACTCTCTTATGAGTGTGCAAGCATAGATCCTCTCTGATGAGTGGTGGCAAGCGTGAGCCTCTCTTATGAGTGTGCAAGCATAGATCCTCTCTTATGAGTGTGCAAGCATAGATCCTCTCTGATGAGTGTGCAAGCATAGATCCTCTCTTATGAGTGTGCAAGCATAGATCCTCTTTTATGAGTGTGCAAGCATAGATCCTCTCTTATGAGTGTGCAAGCATAGATCCTCTCTGATGAGTGTGCAAGCATAGATCCTCTCTGATGAGTGTGCAAGCATAGACTCCTTCTCTCGATGAGTGTGCAAGCATAGATCTCTCTTATGAGTGTGCAAGCATAGATTCTCTCTTATGAGTGTGCAAGTCTAGATCCTTCTTATGAGTGTTGCAAGCATAGATCCTCTTTATGAGTGTGCAAGCATAGATCCTCCTCTTATGAGTCGTGCAAGCATAGATCCTCTCTGATGAGTGTGCAAGCATAGATCTCTCTTATGAGTGTGCAAGCATAGATCTCTCTTATGAGTGTGCAAGCATAGATCTCTCTTATGAGTGTGCAAGCATAGATCCTCTCTGATGAGTGTGCAAGCATGATCTCTCTCTGAGTGTGCAAGCATAGACCTCTCTATGAGTTGTGCAAGCATAGTCCTCTCTGATGAGTGTGCAAGCTAGATCCTCTCTTATGAGTGTGCAAGCATAGATCCTCTCTATGAGTGTGCAAGCATAGATCCTCTCTGATGAGTGTGCAAGCATAGTTCCTGCTCTTATGAGTGTGCAAGCATAGATCCTCTCTGTTGATCAATAGAGTGTGCAAGCATAGATCCTCTCTGATGAGTGTGCAAGCATAGATCTCTCTGATGAGTGGTAGCAGCATAGATCCTCTCTGATGAGTGTGCAAGCATAGATCCTCTCTAGATGAGTGTGGCAAGCATAGATCCTCTCTCTGATGATGTGCAAGCATAGATGCCTCTCTTATGAGTGTGCAAGCATAGATCCTCTCTATGAGTGTGCAAGCAATAGATCTCTCTCTATGAGTGTGCACATAGATCCTCTCTGATGAGTGTGCAAGCGATAAGATCCTCTCTTGATGAGTGTGCAAGCATAGATCCTCTCTGATGAGTGTGGCAAGCATAGATCTCTCTCTTATGAGTGTGCAAGCATAGATCCTCTCTTATGAGTGTGGCAAGCATAGATCCTGTCTCTGATGAGTGTGCAAGCATAGATCTCTCTGATGAGTGTGCAAGCATAGATCCTCTCTGATGACGTGTGCAAGCAATAGATTCTCTCTTATGAGTGTGCAAGCATAGATCTCTCTTATGAGTGTGCAAGCATAGATCCTCTCTGATGAGTGTGCAAGCATAGATCCTCTCTTGAGTGTGCAAGCATAGTCTCTCTTATGAGTGTGAAGCATAGACCTCTCTGATTAGGTGTGCAAGCATAGATCCTCTCTGATGAGTGTGCCGAAGCATAGATCTCTCTGATGCAGTGTGCAAGCATAGATCCTCTCTGATGAGTGTGCAAGCATAGATCCTCTTCTTATGAGTTGTGCAAGCATAGATCTCTCTGATGAGTGTGCAAGCATAGATCCTCTCTGATGAGTGTGCAAGCATAGATCTCTCTGATGAGTGTGCAAGCATAGATCCTCTCTTATGAGTGTGCAAGCATAGATCCTCTCTTATGAGTGTGCAAGCATAGATCCTCTCTGATGAGTGTGCAAGCAATCCTCTCTGATGAGTGTGCAAGCATAGATCCTCTCTATGAGTGTGCAAGCATAGATCCTCTTCTGATGAGTGTGCAAGCATAGATCCTCTCTTATGAGTGTGCAAGCAATAGATCTCTCTTATGAGTGGTGAAGCATAGATCCTCTCTTATGAGTGTGCAAGCATAGATCCTCTCTGATGAGTTGTGCAAGCATAGATTTCTCTCTGATGAGTGTGCAAGCATGATCCTCTCTATGAGTGTGCAAGCATAGCTCTCTTATGAGTGTGCAAGCATAGTCTCTTCTGATGAGTGTGCAAGCATAGATCCTCTCTGATGAGTGTGCAAGCATAGATCCTCTCTTATGAGTGTGCAAGCATAGATCCTCTCTGATGAGTTGTGGTGCAAGCATAGATCCTCTCTTATGAGTGTGCAAGCATAGATCCTCTCTTATGAGTGTGCAAGCATAGATCCTCTCTTATGAGTGTGCAAGCATAGATCCTCTCTGATGAGTGTGCAAGCATAGATCCTCTCTGATGAGTGTGCAAGCATAGATTCTCTCTGATGAGTGTGCAAGCATAGATCCTCTCTTATGAGTGTGCAGGCATAGGTTCTCTCTTATGAGTGTGCAAGCATAGGTTCTCTCTGATGAGTGTGCAAGCATAGATCCTCTCTTATGAGTGTGCAAGCATAGATCCTCTCTTATGAGTGTGCAAGCATAGATCCTCTCTGATAAGTGTGCAATCATGAGTTTCTCTGATGAGTGTGCAAGCATGAAACTCAGTGAAACTGCGAACATGTCTCTTATTTAATTGAAAGTCTATAGTAGCACATGTATTTATAACTGCACTCGTACGACACTTTGAATTTACATATATTTTCTTTTGACGTGAATGATTGCTTTTTCAATCGGAATTATCCGTATATCTCGTTTAGACAAGCAACAGCTGGAGCATAATGGAGAAAGGGCCTAGAGAAAAATTTACAACGGTGGCCATCTACAGGGGAACTTTTGTTGCCGTGAAGAAAATCAACAAGCGCACTGTTGAACTTAGCCGCAACGTGTTAATGGAACTTAAGCAGGTAATTAATTCATCTTGAAATATCTTTGAACTAATTGGCAATTAAAACCTCAATTTATGTTATTTCACGTAAACATTTCCCTATTCTAATATTTATTGATTTGCCTCACCCCTAAACAACAGATAATGAGTCATTTCAGCTTTGTGATGCTTTCCCCCTTGTACGTTTTCAATATGTATCGTTTCTCCGATTGTAGATGCGAGACATTCGACATGATAACATAAACATGTTCATTGGAGCGTGCACAGAGCCTGGAAATGTCCTTATTGTCACTCAATACGCAACTAAAGGCAGTCTGCAGGTTCATTTTTCAACATACTTTTTCAAGCGAATTTATCTGCATATTTTTAAGTATTAAAGAAATTTGCTTCAAGCTGCTTAATAGCAAAAGAATAAATTGACAGAATAGCCGACTTTGAAAGATAATCCTAAACTACTTTTACATATGAACAGAAGCTGAGTTCGTTACTTAATAAGTTTGACACATGCTGTTTCAGAATCGCTCCTTTTCCTGACTCAGTCTGAAATGGTACAAGTCCTTCGTTCTCCAGTTGCACTGTGTGGACGAAAACCATTTTCATAACTTTACACTGTCAAATCGAATTTGCTTCTTTTAGGCAGCTTGTGCTCCAGGCTCTTCATTATTATTATGGACCTTGCCTACCCTTGAATAAGAAACTACGCTGGGGCGTAACCAAATTGTTTAGAAACTGCGAAATACAATAAAAAATTAACTAAAATTCAGTAGTCATATTTCAAATAGCGATTTTATTTGATTTCAGGATGTTTTAGAAAACGAGACGATAAAACTAGACAATCTCTTCATTTTGTCGTTGTTGTACGATATTGTCAAGGTACGTGAAGCGATCTTACGTCATTTTCCGTATTTTCATTGAGACTTTTCTAAGCAGATTCCCTGCTGTTTTGTTGATCAACAGTCGCCATGCTTAATACTTGTAATGCAGCCACTACAGTATTGCCGTTGTGTTGATTTTTTTGTTATTTATAGATTTAACTTTTTTTAACCTTTACTTTGCTTAGAGTTCATATCTAGATGCTTTCCTAATGGACCAGCCTGTATAAGTCGAACTGGCTCTTTGTTGTAGGGTCTCCTGTATCTAAGCTCCACTGAAATCAAGACCCATGGGAACCTGAAGTCGTCCAACTGCGTGATTGATAGTCGCTGGATGTTGAAATTAACTGATTTTGGTTTGTATCATTTCAAAGTGGGCCAAGATGACAGCGAAATGTCAACTAGAGAATATTACAAACGTAAGCACTGTTAACATAATATTTTACACGCAATCTAACTAATAAATATTAAAGAGAAACAGTAAATTTCTTCTCGTAACCAATGAAAACTTGTTCTCTTTCTCACGCATACATTTTCTGTACGACTTATTTCTTGATTTGTTGTTTTTAGGGTTGTTGTGGTGTGCTCCAGAGCGCCTCCGGTCAGAGCCCCAGTCCATTCAGGGTAATCAAAAATGTGACGTGTACAGTTTTGCTATAATTCTGCAAGAATGCCATACAAGAGAAGGAGCTTGGAGTGGCACCTTTTTAGAACCTCAAGGTAATTTTAGTATTTATTTTCTTTTGTATGCCGTCCCGTTTAAATGAAAATGCTTACAAAAATGCGATTATAATACCCTTACACAGCAACGGGCTCTTCGTGAGAAAAAAGTCATTGCTCTTGCTGCTTATATCTTCATGTAGATATTCCATTGACAAAAACTTAACGCAGAAAAGATAATATTCTAACATACAGTAATTTATCAAAGATTTTTTACGAATAGTTGTTTATTGTCACACCGAAAGTTTTAGTTGAAACCTCAACAATAATCCTAAAATCATATATTAATAAAGACAAAAGTGAACCTGCAATAAAACTGTTGCTCGTTATTTTCTTTCATGATAACATGCAAAATATGTCAAAGTATTGCTCTCTTGGCTTAAAATTAATCTTCAATGAAAATACATCTGATGGATCAGATGCTAAATCTTTTTTTTTTCTTTATCCGTTTGCTGCTGTAAATGTCTGCCCGTCAAAATCTCGTATAACAATGCTCTTAATTTTATTTTTCCCCCTTTCAGTTATCTTTGCTCTGCATATTCATAGATTCACAATAGAATTAAGTGCTTCAAGAAATGGATTTTTTCCTCCACAAATTTCTGCTTTTAATAATGGGACTTATGTATAATCGATTTTTAAGCGTTTTAAATGAAGATGAAAAAAAGGATGTACACATTTTTTCCGAAAATTTCTTCGCCGAAGCTTATGACCGGAAATGTTTGAGTCTGTGTGTGAAATGTGTCTGTTTTAATTAATTTTTACGAGAAACGTCAGTAAAGTAGAAAAGGAAATTTCTTGTTGTTTCATCACTTTCTGAAGATATAAACTTGCAATGTTGTTTCATGAGCAGACAAGTCGATGTGGCTTTAATTAATTAATGAGTAAGAATCAAGCTAATGAAATCCCAACACTTCGTTTCTGTTTTTCAACTGGAGTCTTTTCGTTCCTGCAGACATTATAGAGCGTGTGAAATTCACCGAATGCCCGCCATTTAGGCCTCCAGTACCATATCTCATAGAAAAAGTTGAAGGGCTGAGGGACCTCATGAAACGATGCTGGTGTGAAGAGCCGGATGATCGGCCTAGCATCGTTGAAATCAGAAAAGAAATTGAGAATATGATGGCGCACAATGGATTGTAAGCTTCTTTTTTTTTTGTCTTCTGCTAAATGCAGGTTTCGATTTCTTTGGCAAGATGGGGATAGATTAAAAAATAGATTTGGTTTTATGAACTGTGTTGTAGTGTGCAACTTTTGATTAACTCTGATAGATTTCAATGTGTTAATTTGATGAAACCAAATACTCTCGACATTCGAGAGTTGATGATATACACTGCAGCTTTTGTTTGTTGTCCATATAGCAGACTACTAGCCAATGTAAATTATTACTATATTTCATTGTCGTATGTCGTGTCATATATTCCAAGTCATGAAGCTCGAGCTTTTAACTACCTTTCTGAGTTTCCTATTTGTATGCTGGGTTGTTGCTGGCTGGTAAGGTTTTCGTGAAAAAGTTATTCCAAGCAATGTTAATTTCCATTTGCCGATGCAGAACCACGAATTTTGTCTCTAAATATTGCCAACTACTTTCATAGGAAAAGAAACATATTTGACAATATGATTTATATGATGGAGCGGTATACTGAAAACCTGGAGGAGGTTGTTGAATGTAAAACTGGTGAATTAATGGAAGAGAAGCGGAAAACGGAGGCGCTATTGGAGAGAATGCTGCCTATTACTGTTGCTAAGCAGCTGAAAAAGGGCAAGGCTGTCGAAGCTGAGCATTTCAGCGATGTGACGATATACTTCAGTGATATTGTCGGTTTTACGTCACTCTGTGCCGAATGCACCCCTATGCAGGTTTGAATCCAACGAGCTAAACTCATTTTTATACGAATTGTTTCGTTTAAACGTTTTTCCTTCAGCGTTTAAGGTGGTTTTGTGGTCTTTTATTTCCATGGAAACTGGATAGATTCTTGCTCAAGCGCGTATTCTCTATCAGATACCAATTCGGTAAAAGAAACGTGCCTGTTGAGTTCCCTGAAAGTGATTTGAGACTTCACTGGTTTTCAACTTAAACGTAACATTTTGGCAAGAATGTAAGGTGTGAGTCGTAGCACATGTCTTTTCGACATTAAGCGGTTTTTATCCAATGCTTCAAAAATAATGACATTTGCTTGCACTTGTTGAAACAAAACAAAGTCCTAGTGACTTTGGATGAACAAATAGCCATGCAGATGTTTTTGATGCTTGTTTTTGCACATTTTAAATTATATCAATTGCGAATTTTCGATTATATCAATCAACACTTGGCATTTTGATTCTATTTGGACTTTGCACTTATAATGAAAGAGTAGAACAGCAATATTTTTGTAGGAAACTTTGGCGCCTTCTCTTCTGTATCCCCCCGCTTTTTATTATTGATAAAATTGTCTTCTCTCCAGGTTGTGAATATTTTGAACGACCTGTACACTCTATTTGATGACGTGATCAAAGTGTACGATGTATACAAGGTCAGTTATAATCTTTGAACTTTTCCTGTATGTCACTTTTCACAACAAATCCAGAATACTTCTATTTGTCGAGCTTTCGCTTAGCGCAAACAATTGCTGCTGGAAGGCACTCTTACCAAATAGATTAATGAAATATTAATTAACTCAACGAACGAACGAACGAATGAATGAATGAATGAATGAATGAATGAATGAATGAATGAATGAATGAATGAATGAATGAATGAATGAATGAATGAATGAATGAAATCTTGCGCACCGTCTTGTTACGCGACTTTTTTAATTTATCCATTGGATTATTTTGTTGAAGGTTGAGACGATAGGAGACGCATACATGGTTGCATCTGGCCTCCCAATTAGAAATGGACAGCAACACGCGAAGGAAATCGCATTGATGTCGCTGAACATTTTATCCGAAGTTAAAGACTTTACAATTCGGCATAAACCAGGCTACAAACTAAATCTAAGAGTTGGTGTTCATACAGGTACTCCTCTTATACAGTTAGATCAACATCTGCCCAAGTTTCATTCTCCACACTTCTTGGCGTCCTTTTGACGACTATTAGACTCATATTGTTAAAATTTCCCAAATCAGCCGTCTTTTCTTGCGGTTCCGAGTTATCCTTGACAAATTTTAGGTCTCTGTAGCTTTTGTACGTTTCCGTCAATTTGAAAATATCGAAAACTAGTTATTTGGCGGCCTCACTAATGCATGCCTTTCTACAAGAGATGGCTGATTTCCTTTCTCCTAATCTCAGTATAAGTAGGAAAATACAAATATTTAGATTGCGATTAGAAGCAGTGAAAGCCAGTCTTGAAGGTCTAGATCCCTCTTGCTGGATAGAGGACTGCCTTCTAACTGGAAAGAGGGCCGGCAGTGTTCATAGGGATGAAATGCAGTGATTTTTTGTTACCGATTGAAGAGATGGGTGGCCCTTTTGCGAGCAGCCTCAAAACGTACTGCACAACGTATTGTGCGGGTATTAGTGTTGGGCTCAAATATGAGTTTTCAACTTTTAATCAGTAACAATAGTTCGCCCCTGGTACCAGGGTCAGTCATCTCGGCAATATTGCTCCCTCGTGAATTTTCGTCTCTTTCAAATGAAGTTTTATTCTAATTTATATTGTATGGTGATGAGCGTTTAACCATGGACACAAATAAGAAGCTACTTCAGGCAACGCTCAAATTCATTCATGCTTCAGAACGCCTTTAAATATTCCATTGCTGCACACTCCTATACATTAGCATCTACTTTTTGTCTGTTTACTCTGTATCCGTAATTAGTTTACCTAGTTTTAGTTATATATCTTTCTATCTTCGTTTAATGCTGTGCGTTTTATGTATCGGACATAGGGTAGTCATTGTCTTTCGCTCTTCATGGTATCGTTAGTACAGTAATTAGGGTGTATAAACAATGTAAAATTGTATTGGTCTTAATTTCTATGAATAATAAAAAAATATGTTTTTAAGTTTATTTGCTTCTCGCTGCAGGCCCTGTAGTCGCTGGGGTGGTAGGCACAGTTATGCCAAGGTATTGTCTGTTTGGGGATACTGTCAATACGTCATCAAGGATGGAAACAACTGGAGTTCGTAAGTATCTTGTTTCATCAGATTGCTTCTGATGAAAAGAATTCATTCCATTTTTTCACCTGGCCCTCCATTGTCTGCTCTTGGTGTTTTGCTTTCATAAAGCTTTTGCATAAGATTCTGCAATTAATGATGGGGATTATTGTTCATCTCTTTTTCTCGAAGAGCTCCTTAACGGCATTTACAGTAAAAATGCTTACTCTGAAGGAAAACAAATGATAGATAATTCAATACATCAAGCTTTTCACTCTTTCTTTTGGGAATAATTTATTTCATCTGAAATATTTATGAGATGTTCATGGACGAGCAAACCCGAACCTGGTTTGTGAATTTTTTAACTATTTTTTTGTGTCCAAGCGATTCACGGATGTTGATACCCTACTCTTCTGTTCTGTAGCGCTCAAAATACATATAAGTGCATCAACTGGGAAGGCATTGCTTGCCTTAGGTGGCTTTCAACTTGAAGAGAGGGGCGAAGTTTTCCTCAAGGTGAGTTTTCAACTTTGCACTTATAGAAAACGAAGAACACTTTATTTGACCCGAACCTGTTACACTTAAGGCATGTTCACAGTTTTTGGGCAATTGATGATCCTCCCCTTTTTATGAAGTCTAAAGAAATAGGTATCAATGCAATTCAAAGTGCATCTGTTCTTTGTTTCCTTTGCAACTGGAATTCATCTGCAGAGTTTAACGGTGAATAAAGGTGGGAGGGCTACACAAAACCAAAGTAGTATTGGAAACCATATTTTTGCAGTGTTTTAACATTGCCTTCTTTTAATGACAAATGCCAAAAAGTCTGCCCCCAGAGCGCCTTGATTTCGGGTCACGCTGTTTGTCTCTTTTGCCGCAGGGTAAAGGCAGTGTCACCACCTACTGGCTCCTTGATGCCGATGAGTCTCTTAAGCGAACCAGAGGGACGGAAGACGACAAGCCCAAATGTCACAATGCAAAAATTGGTAGTCAGTTCTCGATGGCGTTGCTACGCAACTCTCCCAGTCTCCGTGCTAAGCTCCTTACCAGTGGTCTAAGCGGGACGCCTAGAGGCACGCCAAAAGATTCAGTGAACAATTCCCCGTCGATACTTAATTGTACCACGCGGAAAAAGAAGAAAATGGAGTTTGATACCGTGGTAACTGCAGAGCGAGTGCAGTTACTTAATTCCAGTTCTCCAATAGGTACGAATTTAGAAAACGGAGAGACTCCGGTGGAGGAATTTTCTAAGTGCTGAATCATTTTAAATTGTAAAATTTTTGGTTTTATAGCTCTGAATCATTAGTCAGTGCTGACCCGCAACACTAGGAACAAAAGGAGCTGTATAACAGCATTTGGTTGTTAGAATGATATCAATATTTAGGGATTTTCCAGCGGATGTGCATCAGTTCAGCCTTTTCGTTGTAAACCTTCTAATGTCGATTGCTTGAACAGGCGTTCTGTAAATATTCTTCCTTAATTACCTGCCGGGTTAACAAGCTTCAAAGGCAACTGCCTTTAGGAGTTCTTTCAAATGGTATTCATTTTTACTGATGTTATCCAAGTGGCAACAAGCCAGTCCTTCATTACGGCTGACCTGCTGCTGGTTTCCGTGCTACTAATCGTAATGACGTGGGTTAATTATAGTGGAGCTTTAGGTTACTCGCACGACTACTGGGGACAATATTTGATATACTGTAGTGACAGGATTATCACTAGTTACCCCGATTCAAGAGTATTTCTATGGGAATGTCACAACTATACCCTGGGTTGATACTCCAGCTACTAAACCCAATACGTGAAAGATTGAGTAGGAGGTAGGTATGTAGTTCATATAGTCAAGAAATAGTACATAGGTAAACTTATTGTGTAAAATGTGACAATATGATGTAAATATTTAACTGTGTATAACGTACATTTTCATTTCTTCCATCCAATTCATGGTTTTAGTATCAGTAAATGAATAGAATTGTTTTGTTTTTTAAATTTTTTATTTTAAATTTAGTAGAAATTGGCCCTTCACCCTTAGTTTCGTATTAGTTTCTTCTTATTTCCCCTCTAATATGTCCCCTCGTATATTTGTTTTTATTTGTCCCAAATTGCAGCCATCTCACTTTATCTTTTCCACTAAATCGATCAACTTAAATTGATAAGGGCCACTTTGATAACACAGGGTTCCAATGAGCATTCATGCAAGTCAATACACGTTGTATGTAATAAATGCTAAAATGTTTTTATCATGTAGTATTGTGATTTACAAATTAATGCAACTCCTATTCAAGCTGTTTCCTTGCTATCTGTTCTCCCACAACTATAGCGTGAATTGTTAGAGCATTAATGGGGTACTTGCCAAAGCTAATACTGGCTTTTGTACCATTTAAGGGTTTGAATATCGACAATAACGTTTATCTCCGTTATAACTGCGTAGTATAATTATTTTCTTTACTAATAATGACAATTATTATTTAAAATGAACAGCATACTCGTATTAAGGCTTTATTAAGCAAGGTGAGACCCACACTGTGCCAAGATAAACCGGCTTTAGTTGAAGGTCAAAAGCTCCAAAGGGACTGGAGAAAAAAGCTAGATGAGGACTTTGCTGTAGGGGATATTTTCGTGGATTTCTGTTATAAAGCGTTTGGCTGTATTCCACATGACCTACTCATAGTAAAATTCGATAAATATGATTCTGATGAAAATGCGTATCTATTCCTACTTTGAAAACATTGTGTCCGGATAAACAATTAACAATTCCTTGAAAAATGTTTTATCAGGAGTTTCACAGGCTTGTGAAATAAATTTAAAAAGAAAATGTAAAAACTTTTAGGTGTAACATTGGATCTTAGCAAAAAAGCTGCAACAGAACTAAATGTTCTAAAAACGTTACGATCATATAATGGACTTGAGCACTTAAAGGCCCTAGTAAAAAGCTTTGTTTACTCTAACTTAACTATGGTTCTTTTGTTTTGTGTGTTTTCTTCCTGAAAGTCGCTTCAGAAAATTGCAAAAGTACAAGAGCCTGCACTAAGATTTCTTTCCAACGATCATCAGAGCATATTTAATGATTTACTCAAAAAGTCAGGAAGATACATTTACAATACAAGTCTCGCACCAGAGAACTCTTTGTAATGTAATCTAAGAAACAGTTGACAATCTATTTCCACTATTTATAAAAATTTTCTTTACACTTAGGATCTTTGCACTAGTTTCCAGAAATCCTTACGACTTAAAGCATGTAGGACCAAATCAAGTAACTTTTGGTTCGCTAGGCTTCAAATATGGAATGGCCTACCAAACAAAACGGAATTCGCTGAAAACTTGAAATACTTAAGATTTTTTATGAATCTAACGCCTAATGAATGTGAATAAAGAGTAGTTTTAATTTCATTCAATTATAACTTTCGTATACATTTTGACATTGCTTGATTTGGTTTAGTTAATTTAGTATACAGTTTACTGTTAGCTATTAATATGAAAGCAAATAAACAACAACAAGCCCATTTAATGGCTGCGTCAGACATAAATTCGACTCTCTGTTGACATACTAAAGGTTGAATCTTGGGAGGCATAAAAGTCATTCATGTATCCCGTGCCTGGGAATTTTTTTTCTCTAATTGAACATAAAAGCTCGACGATGGGAAGAATCATCGTCAAATATTAAAACAAGGTATTTTGCCACAGGATGGTTGCAATGGAAAGAGCTGCCATTAAAGCTGTATGTATTTCGTCTTTTCCATTTCTTGGTTTTCATTGGTTAAACCTTGACTTGCAGTATAAAAGGGATCGTGAATTGAGGAAACCGTCGTTGAATTTCCACGGGATGAATCAAGACATACTGCTGGCTGACGATTAACAATTTCTTAAAGTTTGTATATGCTCTACAATCCCTGCAAAATTCTTGATATTTGCCTGAACTGCCAACATTGGATTTGGGGAAAGGGGGCGAAAGTAGTTATATTTGGGGAAAGAAATGAAAAATACAAAAAAATTTAACGCAAATCTCTTGGAGTTCCAGGTAATTTTGGCAGGCATTGTTGATAGCAAGAAGCTACAAACGTGTACATGCCAATAATTACAACAAGAAAATTATGATCAGGTCCTTCCTTATAGTCATCAACATTGTACCCATGTCACCTCGACCACAAAAGGACCGAGCATTAGCCTGTTTCTATGTGTATCAGTCTGATTCAAATTGTGAGAGGTTCCTCTCAACTATCGGAACGAAGGCGATGGAATAGTGGCCATACCGAACGGATGGTCGACATCTGCTAACGTTGGTGACGGTATCTGTGGCAGCGAAATGTTACTCTGCAAATCGGAATTGTCTGTAAACGAGGTTAAATTTGGGGACAGTACTAGGCCCCGCCGTGGAGCAACTCTTTCTTCCTGAGTCATCTCAACATCTTTGAACTCAGATGCCATATCCTGACCCAAACGCTTTGCAGAGCTTCCCCTTGAACTTTCATACATTCTGGCGTATCTCTGAAGTGGAGAAAGGTGCTGGCTTCATAATAGCAAATCAACTCCATAATCCTAACAAACTTAAACGTAACTTGTTAAAACAAGAAAAAAGGCCACATTGAATTTTCTTCAATAACAAATGGCTGCCACAGTATCTGCAAAGGACCCGTTTAAAGTTCTATCTAATGCTTGAAATGAAGGACACTGCAAAGACAACAAAAGATAGTGTCGATCAAAAAGACTGTCGCTGCGACGAATGCGCCAGGGAAATAGATTTCATACAACTATCTCGTACTAAGTATCTGTAAGAAATCCCCAACTAGGCCTGTAGATGTGAGAAACAGCAGCTTAAGCCATCGGTTTAATTCCCCTATTGCCTGTGGGTGCATGAAAATTTGCGCTTGGAATATGTTAAGGATGTTAAGGAGAGGCACGTCTGTTTCAAATACCTTCTGTGGCTTTACCGCGGCATTTTCCTTCAAGACATCGGCCTGAAAAGATATTGAGCATTGCCTGTTGAAAAACACACAAAGGGATGGTAGCAAAGAAAGAGATTTCAGAAACTTCAAATACCTAAACCTAACAAAACAAACTGGTCATTCTCATACGCCTAGGTCAAGAGAAGCACCATCCACCGACATAGATGCAATGTCAAAGAGAAAACTGTCTAAAGCAATCAATCAACCATAAGCAGCCAAGCCCACGTTGCAGAACATGACTGAAAAATGTCAGAAAATAATGCATAGGGTTTGCCACGTGTTTTTATTTGTCGTTTTAATGTTGTCTTGTTTCAGAAGGGTTGCAGACATGGAACGGAACGGAAATTAGCTGACACTAGGGAAACAAACGAAGATAAAATTGAACATCGGGCTTAAACGCAAAGCAAAAGCTGTTTGGCCAAGTTATTAGGGATTAAATGTGCCAAGCAAGGTCAGTTAGACAAAATTTGAAAACAACTTATGTGTATTAAAAGCAATGCCCTTGCTAGAGAAAAGAAAAATTTGTGTGCGAAATCAGGGTAAAAGAAATAGAAGAGCTGAGGCCAAGAATTAATTTAATACTCGATGACGGCAACAATAAACCTAGTGTCTTGCCCATTGAAGAAGGATCGGAGGTTGATCCAGTCACCAGACCAGTTTTCTACTGGATAAAAAAATTGAAGAAAAAAAAGGCATACAACTCGAAATACAATAACTTGAAAGGAATTCTGGTCCAAGAATGTCCTTGCGTTTATTGAACTACACAAGCATTCGTGTTGACATGATAATATCAGCAGGTAGGCTTGATTATCACATATAATTGGATATATTGATACCTTTACAGAAGGACAAATAACAACAAAAAGCTTGCCATTGCTTTTTGCCATTTTTTTATTTTTTTATTTTGCTGAGGCTTTGAAGGTTTTGATTCTAGAGTCCCTGGTTGTTCACGCAGCAAAATTGATTTTGTATATTGAAGATTGAGTTATTAAGAAAAACCTACCTCAAAATACAGGTCAAAGTATCGAAAATTATCATTGTGCATATCCAGTCGGTCCATAATCGCCCTGAAAAAAAGATGACATCCGGCACTTACATTCACAAAATGCAATGTAATAACGCAAGAGATAAAGATGGCTTTAGCAAATATTCTAATATCTTTTGAGGTTTCAGCCTTTTGCGGAAACCCATGGATAGGGGCTTAAGACTGCAATATGCTCAAGAAATTTCGGATATTGCAAAACAGGAAGAATAGGCCAAAGGTAATTAGACTTGGGCGTCGCAGCATTAAAAACTTTTGCTAAGTAGACATTTATCATCAGTGAAAAGCTCTGTTTTATGCAAAAGGAAGAGACAAGCTTTTTCAAGGCCACAACTCTAAACAGGCAGCTAACCTCCTTTCCTTTTGAGCTCGTTTTGTCATCTTCTTGATATGGTATATTCTATTCATGAGCTTCAGATTGTTCTAAAATTCAAAAGAAATAAAGTTCACATCGATTCTGCTGGAGAAATACAAAAACTCTAGTCAACTACATATAGAAGGTTGATTCAGTGTCATCTTATAACATTAGAAGAACCTTTTGTGAAAATGTTTTCCCATAAAATTACAGGAAAAACACAATTTTTGCAACATAATTTTTTTCCAGGGGGTGTCACACCTCCCCTGCCCAACAGTAGTGACCAATGGCCTGAGGGGAATGCTATAGTGGTGACCAGTGGTTGTGACCTAACAAAGATGGACAAGCAGGCAAACAAGAGCCCTGCAAAAGAGAGATCAATGCAGAGCTTGTTTGCATGCTACTGGCAATGCTTACAGGAATTTAACAGAGCTCAAGTCTCCTTGGTCATTCATAATATCTACAAATTTTCACAATTGGCTTCCCTGCACAGAGATAATGCTTATGAGATAGTGATCAGAGATAATGGGATCTTTAACTACATGAGTTTTAACCTAATACTTGCATAAAAGGTAAAACAAATAATGTTATAATAGGCACAATGAAGACCTAAGAAAAAGCGACACATAAACAAACATATTTCTGAAAAAGAATGTACAGCACTGATAATGCATAGAATGGGTGCTTCAGTCAAATTTGCTTTTGAATTGATGATTGAACCTAGATTTGATTAAGGAACTGATAACATTTCTTACCTACCTATTGGGATCGAGTTGAGGTCACGATAAACGTTTTCTGGATAAAAATATCCATTTCTTGATTTCTTCACATTCTAGTGGCTGAACTTTCAAGGCATACAATAATACCATGTTTGTGACTTACAAAAATTTTGAAAATGGAAGAAATCCTATATAAATGAAGGTTTCCATAATTTCTTTATCAAAGTTTTAAGTTGAGGTCTGAAAATGTTAAGCCGATTATCCTTGCTTTGCTGTTTGGGTCCAATGTCTCATTCACAATAACTAGTTACAATCACATGACATATCCATGTATCCCATGTAAGCGTGTTTTTATTTAAACAGGTTTATTGATCTTTTAGCTACAAATGACTTGACCCGGATTGCACTGTAGTTTACAAGTGTATCTTTCAAGTGCCATCAGTAAATTCCTGTTTTCTCTGGATTCACAATATCTCTACATACAGGTACAAAAAAGCTATTTGGTATCCAGGGAAACAATCAAATGGCTCAAAATTTGCACACCGCCAGGACAGATGTTGGGTAAGCAAAGAGTGTCTCAGAATATTTGCATTTGCTCTGGTTCATCTTTCATAGCCAAATACAACTACAGGAGGGTAGAAAAATTGTTTACCAGTTTTTGACAGGGTATAGTTTCAAATGGAGGAAGAATTTGAAAAATCTGAGACATGCTGTGGTAGCTTAGGATCTGGGCTCTTTGCTTATATAAGCCAGATTTTGTTACCTAAAACGTAAGGGTACAAATAACATTTGAACATGGAACACTGATTTAAGCAATATGCTTGGAGTGTATCATTTTACAATATTTGCCAATTATTTTGATATGGTTGAAGTCATCACATTCCTGTGCATCAAATTATGTATAATCCAAAAGCATTAATAGGTCGGCTTTCAGGGAGAAAAAACCAAATATTGTTTCAAAAGCGTTTACGGTAATCCTAAGGTGTTATTGGGTGAAGGGATCCAGGAATAAAAAAACATTTACCGTCTATTAAGATCTTGGGCAAGACACCCCAGTCTAAAAATAGCCCAAGGGGACAATTTTCTGTTGGGTTCTTTATCCTATTTTTCAGCATATCAAACTGTCCTATTTTGCAGAGTTTAGTGCTGTAGTACTAAAGTACGATTGAGATGCAATCAAACCGTCTTTATAGGTCTGGAACAAAGAACCCCAGTCTAAAAATAGAAAAGGGGGCAATTTTCAGATATGCTCTATATCCTATCTCTTGTAGCGTATCAAACTGCCCCATGTTGTGAAGTTTCGTTCTACTATACCTACTTTCGGGAGAGATCTTATGATAAGGCTGTTAGGGGCTTGGGGCAAAGAGCCCCTATCTAAAAATAGCTAAGGGAGCAAATTTCAGTTGGGCTCCATATCCTATCTTTTTCAGCGTATCAAACTACCTCATGCTCGTATCACAATTTGCACAATTGTTTGACTAGCAGACCTGACTAAGTAGTATGGAACCAACTGCAAACCTTGTGACGTCACTGATTCTTATGCTTTGCAAAAACAAACTTTCCTGTGAAAAGTTTGAGTAAATTTTAGTTTTATATTGCAATAACATGTAGAAGTTTCATTTTCTTGCAAAAAACTATATGTGAGATTTCATTTCATAGGCACTTTAACAGAAGGACACCTAGCCAGCCTTCATTTATTAATTTAAATTGGCTACCTCTCCACCAGCGGATTGAGTTCAACATTTGTACCATCATGTTTAAAAGCTTTATAGGAGCTTTTGTGTTAAATTTACATTATTTGTACTTTAATTTCTGAACCAAACTGAAAACAAGTTTTCAAACTTAGGATAGTCATGGGTAATGCTGGAATCACGGACAAATCTACTTAGGAATAATTTTTTTCAAATCATCATGAACGTTTTATGAAAAGATTTTTAAAATCATGTTTGGGTGCCTTTTATGTTCAATTTTTTCTCTTTTGAGCCTTTTTGCTGTGCGGGCTAATGGATAAATGTGTTTTGAATGCATGTCAGTGAAGTGAGTGGGCCTAAATTCCCTCGATTTTCTACTCTTCAAAATTGAGATGTCATTCTCTGCAGTGATCAGGGAATGCTTAATGTTTTTGTTTTGACTTCATGCTATGATTGATTGCATGATTGAGAAATATATTGATTGGATAACATGAGTATCCTCATCGCATGGCACAATTTTGAGATTCCCCAACATCCCTGGACGAAGCATATTGCATGTGCGCATGGGCAATGCCAGACAGCTAATGGGATGATTCCCTGAAAAATGACGCAGCCAGAAAATTTTGATAATACCTATACTGATGGAATAAATTAGCCCTATTCCCAGCAAGAGAAGGCAGGTTTCCAGTTTAATATTTTTTTTGCCAGATAACAATGAATAATACAAGTTTGGATAGAATCCCCCTTTTCCGTCAGAGCTCATTATTGTCAAACCTTTGATGATACATGTTTTCAACTAATAAAGACATTTATCAGGAAAATATTACCATTTCCCACCCTAGAATTAAACTCTTGCATTATCCCTGGCCTTATATCCTATTCTTATTTAGATTGCCAAAACTATGTTGTGTTTAATCTGCCTGTCCGCCATTACCCATGGATGCCCGACATTACCCACATGGATTGATTAGCGCTGATTTAAAAACAACAACAAACTATGGAACTGTTATGTAAAAATAAATTCATCAGAAAATTTCCTTTTAGATATGGTTTCCTAAGAACAAACAATTTTATCGAAAAAGAAATAGTGGCATTGACAGATTGGCAAAACAATTGAAGGTGTCCAACACTACCTATGACTACCCTAGTTTGTAATTCATGTTAAAGATTATTATCATACATACATAAATACATACATACAATTGTTCAATTCAAAGTTGCTGATGATTTGAATACCTATTTAGCTGGCCCACCTGTACCGTAAGATTTTGTCTATGGCCTACCCAAAAAATAAGTTGGTATATCCCCTGATAACTTTGGGATCTAACATAGTTGTTTATGCTAATGTCACAATTGAAGTGAAAAGTAAACCAAAGTGCACATTTGCACATTTTAAATTTTGCTCTTGCACAGCCGAGATCTCGTTGGAAACTGTCCTACTCTGCAGTCCAGCCCAGTCAAGGGCAATTGGACCCTTGTGAAATTCTAAAAAGAATTTCAAACAGAGTTTAAACTGGGTAAATTTAGAAAAGGCAGCAAAGAATCTTTCCAACAAAGGACGCCTATACTGCTTTAATTCTAAAGATAAAAGTTATTTTCTAAAGTCTATCAAGATAAAGGACAAGAACTTACAATGAATATAACAAAATTCAGAACTACATGCCTTGCCTTTTATGCTATTTATTTATTACTATACTTTTTTCTTTTCTCCCTGCAGATAAAACTTTAATAACACTAACCTTCTCAACATCAATACATTGCTTTTTCAAGGCAGTAAACTTTGACTCCCATACCGATTCCATCGTTGTGTGATGAGCAGCTGATAGACTGATAAAACTAAACCACAGTCAGGTCTTCATCTCCATGGATCAGTGCATGTCTTCTGTTTGGGTGGCAAGTGGCCATTAATGAGCCTCGGTCCCATTCATTTGATTTGGAAACAATGTTTGGAAACGCGGAGATGCACCAAATGAGGTACATTGGATGCACCAAACAGAGAGGGATCTGCACCCTGCACCCTGCACCAATCATACATACCGTAAATCCTCGAATTAGCCCCCTGGGGCTGATTTATTTCGATACTTTTGTATGGGGGCTTATTCGAGGGGGGCCTATACGAGGGGGGCTTATAAAATTATTGTAGACATCAAGAAGACATTACATAAAAGACCTTTTTTATTTTAGTAGGAATTTTTTTATGAACATTTAATTAATTATTATCAAAAGTATACATTTTTGTGGTAATTCAGTAAAACGCCATAGGTAACCTCAGATGGCAAAATCATCAAATTGAGGGGCCCAATTCGAGAATTTACGGTAGCAGTGGGGGCCTTTTCGAGGGGGGCTTATCAACAATTTGTAGTTCTAGGGCGAGGGCTATTCGAGGGGGGCTTTTTCGAGGGGAGGAGGCAATTTGAGGATTTACGGTATATCTGCTTTCGAAAAATTAGCCTACTTGTGAACAGTACCAAAACATTTAGAATTAAGTGCTCATTAATTTAAAAAGTTTTGGAAGGAAAATTTAAAAAGTAAAATTTTGGCGGATGAGGATTTAAATGAATGTAGGTGCTTGTAGACCCTTGTAGTGAATTTGGGGGCATGCAAAAATAATCTGCAAGTCACAATGCTAGTACGGCATTCTTGAAATCTTTAAACTTTTTTCGTTGAATAATTCTGTCTTTTCAAGACAGAAACATTTTTACAAAAAACACATTGGCCTTCTTTCTAATTGTTTAATCTTTGTGTTGTTTCATATCGTTGTGTAGTTTCCTATTATAATCTAGTATAAGCGGATCGTTTCAAATTGCAGCGAGGTTTCTTTTTATAGGAACGTTTCAAAATGTGGGAAACGGTCAGTCACGGCTTCGCTAATCAGCCATGATCGATCGAAGAATCACTTATGATCTGCTTGTGATTGATAGCACTTAGACTTCTTTTATTTCGTGGTTTCTTGTGTCGTGGCCAAGTTAAGACCAATCCAGTTGACGAACAACATGCTAAAATCTCATACAACACGGAAAAGACAGTCAGGTAATAAAAAAAATTGGCCTATATCAATATCATTTGAAAAATTCCTTTAAACGTAAAACAAGCAATAACGAGTTTGTAACGGTTATGATAAAGTTTTACGCAGGAGACGTATCTGTCATACCATACCATAGTTACCATACTATGGTATCAACCTCCTTTTTCCAGGGCCCACGCCACAGGAGGGGGGCGGAGGGGCCATGACCCCCCACTCTTTTGCGAAGCAAGTAGTTTTGAAGCTGCAGAAAAAGGGGAAAGCTTTGGTTCCCTAATTTTGCTAGCCTTGGAAAAATGGCAGAGTAGGAAAAAACACACAAGGGAGCTAGGCTTTTTGGGCTACGTTATTGACCCACATAAATCGTCAGTTAAGAGAAGTTAAAGAGTGTTAGCTTTTCTGGAAAGGTGCGCCTAACATTGTGTTTTCAATCAGTCTAAGTGACTTAATGATCAATCCTGCTTGATCAGCCAAGCCGTGATCGTTCTCCGCTCTATGAAACGATCCTAAAATAAAAAGTCTTGCTATGATACGAAATGATTCTCTAGTATGAAAACTGGAAACTACAAAAGGAACTACGCTAGGAAACGAAACCACTACAATATGGAATGAGCCCACTTACAGAGCCACATCCTAATAGAAATTGAATCTGCATAGTGAACATTTGTCACATTGGAAAACTATCCCTATTTTGTTGAAAACTAACCAAGATGTGAAACGACCCCGTAAACCTTCAAACAGAATTATGTCCGTCTCTTTGCTCAATTAATTTTTTGCTCATTTTGGCCAAGAATCTCTTGATGGCAACAACCTGGAGTACGGTGAAAAACACCGCGTAGTGGAATAAAGGGGGAATAAAGTAATTGAATATAGAATTTTATCTACATCAGCGATTGGCGTTAATATTGACTTTAGCATATCTTCATATTGATGGTACCGAAAGCAAATCAAATGAAGCGCTAGGTCAATAGAATGATATCATTGCACAGTACTCCTGATAGCGAACAGTCTTCTATCCTTATAAACGTAGAAACAGAAAAACGTAAGAAAAGAAGTAACAGTGATTAGTGATTTATGAGTGAAATTCAGGAGGCAGCGGCCGCTTACCCTCTTCTGCAACATTTAAATGTCGAGTCCCTGTGGTGAACTGGACCTTTCGAGCAATTTCTTAATAATGCTTGCAAGTAGCACACGTTATTAAAATTTACTAAAATAATTGTAAAAACTTCTAAAATTAGCCTTACGTAACATGCTGTAACTTACTTATTCCAGACTGTATTGCTGCACACGTGACGAACAGTATATAAGGGTAGAGTAGCTTGCTGTAGGGATTAGGTTTTTAGTCGAGGATCTATTATGTGAAATTCGATAGATAGATAAACACGACGCATTGTTGATTTCTTGGAGAATAACAATACGGGCCTAAGCTGGAAAACGTACCTTATCATAGCATTGAAAGAGACGCACTTGTTTGTGAATCTATTCAGTGAGTGTGTCACAGGGAGTATACATTTACACCAAGGCGGCCTTGGATTCCCCACATTCTTCCAGCACGAAGAACCATTTTCTAATCCCAAATTACTAAAAGAATATGGCCTGCCATCGTAAAATTATGTTTTATCCACTGTTAATAGAATAAGATAAGCAGTTTTGGTCACAACCGGGAGATCCTTCCTGAACAACATAATTTTTCAAAAAGTTCATTAACATTATCAATGTACCCGTTCTTGGCCTAGCCCCTTGACCTAGCCTTCTTGCATCGTTAATAAGTTGTTGACAGCTATCAGAATGTTTCCCAGTGGAACTTATGCTGGTTTATTATGTGAAGCTCTCGTTATTCGGGAAGACCAGTAAAAATAATTGGCCCTATGAATGACCATTGTGGGGGCCAATTCATGACGATTGCTCCAGTAGATCTGCAAGTGACTAGCTGAAATCTATGAACATGATAAATGTAATTTTGTCTTTTACTAGGGCAAAGAGTAAAGTCCTCGTCAAAAGGTGGAACATGGGTGGCCAAATAATGCAAGATTGCCTTTGCCACAAATGTTGGGCCAAATGTTCTGCATCCTTTGGTCGGGGCTCCAGTCCCTTCGATAACACTTTTCTTAGATATTAGTGGTATTGACATTTTCCAAAGGAACAAATGGCCCGTGCTAACTATCAGCCAAGGATGTTCGAAATGGTTTTTGATGAAATGCCTGGATCCGCTTTATCTAATCTGGTTCTTATCTTTTCTTCCTCAATACCAATCAAAATATTGTGTTTCAAGAATCTTTTCAAGTTTAGCGCAATCATACTAAATTCTTACCAGGAAGCTAGCAAGCAGTAATAAGCTTTGGTTTCTCTTCTAACAGACAAAGGAACCTCTCTTGGTAAATGCACCGTCATTTCAGACAAGATATGAATAAACCAATTCAATCAGGTACCCAAGTAGGGCAAGGATCTTCAGTTCCTGCCAAACGTTTTGGTATGCTACGCTGAAATGGTGCATGTTTTCAGCAGCATGCCCCTCTTCTCTGGAAACTGCGTTGACTAGGATAAGTTTCAGAGCTTTATACTCATCAGTATGACCTCATCGGACAGTTTTGGTTATAGGCCTTTGTAACAGCATCCTTTCTTAGGAGGAAAGGGGGAGTGGTTTGTTACTTTTTGCTCTTCTAAGAAACAAGACTCTTCTGAGTAATTTTGACCGGAGCTGCTCAGTTTTTTGTGCATTTATTTGGTACTTTCATACTGCATCCATTCTTCCACTGTACCATTGCGACGCCATTAGGGAACATGGCTCCCTAACATCGAATTGAGCATGGATCTCCATTAATGTTTTAATCATAAAATTAAGATAGCCTATTAACCTGACTTGAATGTTAATGAACATAAAATAGCGTTAGAAGCAATAATTTTTTCATAAATAAGGATGGACGACGTTAGGGTTGTTCCATGTGAAGTCAATGATTCACAGAACTAAGTGAAATTTCTAATCTTGCTTTTGCTTTTTCATAGCTGTGTTGATAGCACATCGAATGACTACCTAAATTGCAGCGATTGCACATTTTGTGTTAATGTATTTTTCTTTCTTTAATCTAGATAACGAAAGTTGTAAATGGGATAATTGTTACCACCATTCGCATTGGGAACTCCACGATATTATGTTTTAATTGTTATTATTGTGGTTTTAATTGTATAAAAAAGCCTTATGGTCCGAACGCACTGTACTAGAATTATAGTGAGGCTTATCAAATATATCAACTCAGGGACAAAGAAGGCTGAGTACGCCCTCAAACTCCTAGAAGCTGATGACTTAAAAGTTATAACACACTGATCTCCGCAGCGCTCCAACGGCTCCATTGTCTAGCTAGTAAACGGGGCAAGTCTGAAGGAGGCGGCCACTGTGCTGCGGAGAAGACGCGAGGCAACCGACAGATAGGATTGCATGCCTACCTTAGTGGCAGCCAGGTGTTGGCAAGTTCAGTGCAAGTTACACTGATAAATGATGGATAATCATCAGGATGACAACAATAACTTTTTTGGTGAAGAACATTTCCATGCTCGAGGGGTTTCGCCTTCCACGGATAATCTCTTTAGTAATAGAGATGGTAAGTGTTTGTGCATTTATCGTCTTCGCTCCTGTTTAGAACTAGGCCCAGACAAATAGAACTGACGCATTTCCTGCTTTCTATCCTTGTCATATTTGCTTAGTTAAAAGTTACAAATCCAAAATTTTCTTTTTAGTTCTGGAAAGAAGGCTAAAGTACAGGTTAGAAAGGGAGGACTTGATTGTTAGAGGCATTTTACCAGGTTAGTTCGTATTTCTTTGCGTCCAGGACAAGAAGTACCTGATTATCTCATGGAATTGCTAGATCGACTCGTCGCTGATCACACCAGCAAAACCTTAGTATTGGGCGGCGGTTTACTAAATGTAAAGCAATTTTCAAAGCTATTTCCATTTTGTGTTATGTTGAAAGGTATAAGCCTTTTGAAATGGTCTCCATCCGCTTTTTATTAAACATAGTCGCTGATGGATATCATCGGTTTTGCCTACTAGCCTACGTTGCCTACTAACATAAACAATTTTTGTTGTTTTATTATTTGTCAATCTAAGCTTATTATATGGAACGGACAAATGGATCTAGGTACTTGGGTAGATGTGTATCAAAAGTAAACGCATTTTAGACACGATTTTAGGCCGTGCTACAGATCAGCTGTGTTTACATGTTTATGTTTATTGCCTTGATGTTTATTGTAAACTCGAGATTCTTGGATGCTTTAAATGACAAAGTTGAAGCCTCTAAAAACCATGCTATAGGTTTTCAAAACTGTATGGAGGAACTGTATATCATATTTCTAATTGATTAAAAATTCATTTAACTTTTTGATGCAGTGTATACCATAAACTAAAAAATTACTGGTTTTTACTACTAAACTGAGACAGGAATATTGGCAGATTTGTTTTCAACAATATTTGATAGATTTGTGTACAGCCATATTCACATATTTTACTTAATGGATAACAATGGATACAAGAGCAGACATAATGGATAGTTTAATGTTTATAAGTGAGGTAGAAGTAGTTTTAGAAAGGATACCTGTGAAGAATGATGGTTTAACAGTTTATGACTGGTAGAGATACATCAATTTAAATATTATATATTTTCTGTTTGATAACAAAATTCAGTTGCAGATTTGAGAAAAGCACAATATTTATTCCAAAGGTTGTACTTAAGGCAAATAGCTTATGCGTCCTTGCTGATATTTAAAACTGGGAAATTTAAAGGAACATTGACTCACACGAGATGAAGGTTTCTACCTTGCTAGTGGTCTGTAATAAGCATGTTTTATTAGTATTTATGTTTTAATAGAACATTCAGTAGAAAACAATATGGACTTGAATTTTTCAGCTAGATACAATTAAATCATATTTGCAGTGACATACTTTAACTCACTGGGTTGTGTGCTTGAATTTCCCATTTATTCTTGGGCAGTTGATGTTTTTACTGCTAGTCAATGCAGGAATGAAAGATTTGTTAGTTTGACAACCTTTCTACTTTAATTGAAATGGCAGATCATATGAAAGATTAGTAGTTCTGAAACCTATACAGACTACAAATTTGTGCTAGAAAGAAGAAAGTTTTTATTGCAGTTGAGTGCCTACTGGAATGCAAGGACAATGGTTTACATGCAAAAATTTGTCCATGTATTAAGTCATAAGATATATTGATTATATTGATCTAACAATTATCAAGCTGAAAGAAGTATTTTTTGCTAAATTGTTGCGAAGTAGTTAATGCCTACCAAAAGTACTTGGAACACCCGGCTATTTACGCTGCATTTGATATCTTTCATTCCTTTCATGAAAAAAAATTACTACTTCTGCCCCTTCCCCCTAAAATAATGTTGATAATTTAGAGAAATGTCGTAAAAGAAGTGCAAAACAAAAGAAAGGGCTTTCTAAAATCCTAACCTGTTTGATAGTAAACCAACATTGTTCTGTAGGGGGCACCACTGCTAGCCTTATATATTGATTTTGCTAGCCTCATATAGGGATCTGTATATTGTTAGTCTGTTATTTGTAGCAGATGTCAGAGGACTTAAGGGAAGTCTTCTGATAAAGATTATCCAGTATTTTTTGTTGAACTTAGAGTATAAACAACTATGTTTGTTTTAAAAAGGAAATATTGACTCAAGAATGCAGACCAGACAATTTTAATTGATATTTAACTTGTAAATGAAGTCTTATTTACTCTGTAGTGGAAAAGTCTTTTCTGATGCAAGTTTTTTTCAAAGGTTGCATTTACATTGTGATTATTGTTCTATTTGTTCAATTTTCTCTCCCATTTACACAGAACACACAGCTCTGTATTTGGTCATGTACACTCAAGAGTAGATTAGTCTTATAGCAAAGACTTGTTGATTTGAATAATTAGCAATTGAAGCAGTGGTAACTCTTATGAAGTTTGAGCACCAAGTACCCTTTTTCCTCTTTATATCAAAATTCCACAAGTCATTCTTTCTCTTTTCTAAGTTTTCCATACTTTTGGTATTTGGCTCTCTTTTAGGAATGCAAGTCTTTGGAATCTCCTCCTGTGATAAGCCATTGCGAGAATAGCCACTTATTTATAAAATCTTGCGGTTGCATCCAACAATGCCAGTAGACAATTTATTAAGTTAAACAACCTTAAGCAAATTTCTTCTTCACCTGTGCACAATTTATTTTACCCCCAGTTTACTAGCCATATATTTTTATAGCAATTTTGCATAGAAGGCAACAAAAAGTTGTGCTGATATAAATTTATTGTGTAAATGTGGTATCTGTTTGCCCAAAGTGTGCCTAGTACAGTGAAAAAAGGGTGTAGATCAAAGACTTAAAAACAACAGGTCTTAAATATCAATTTTGATCTTTTCCTAAATCAGATTGTTGCTATTGTTTTTCCAATATTTTTGTAAGTTTGTGTTTTTTTCTGTCTAGTGGTATATGTTTTATTCAAAGTTTGGATTTGTTTTATTGTTTTCTTAAGTGGGAATTGCATTATTCTAAGCATAAATATATGGATGTCAGTCTTAGTTAAAGCTCTGTTATAATTCTAATTTGTATTAATTTGCACCCACAGGTTTAAATATATGCTAGAATATTTTTAAATTATCTGTTTTGTATTATTTTACAGCAAATCATGCATCTCCCAGTCTTGCTGCCCAAATCCATCAACTTGAAAGAGCTAAGGTAATTGTTGTTTAGTGATGTGTTGTTTAGTTAGTTAGTGAGTGAGTTAGTTAGTTAGTTTAGTTAGTGTTGTTTAGTTAGTGATGGCTAATTACAAGAAAGCAACAACTTGTCAATGTTTTATTTTAAACCAAACCCTGATTTTAAAGAGGAGAAAGTTCTACAATATTTAAGGAGAGCTCAAAGAATCTTTAACAGTAGGGGTATATGCTTTAAACTACTATTAATTGGATTATTTATTGATATTTTAGGAGTTTATAGTTTCATTATTTGATAGTTCATTCAATAGTTTGACATGCTATTTTGGGTAAGATTAGCAAATGTTGTGTTTTTCCCATGCCCATTATGTGAGACACGCCCTTGTATTATTCTTGACATCTATTTCCTCAAAAGATTCAATAAGGGCTCGGGAATACTTTATTAGAAGGAATATGGTAATCAAATCAGGCTAAGGCAAGTATGGGCTAATCCATGGTAAACAGGACAAAATAATTGGGATGAAAAGCAGCCAAATATTTAGATTTTTTTCCCAAAGCAAATATGAGGATACAAACAAGATCTTAAGGGCATCTATATTGCACATGCCCAAACTGTTTGGGTTTTAACCCCCTTTTCCACTGTACAAGTGCTCTCACAATCTATATCCTATACCTATATCCTATGAGTGGAAAAAGGACATGGACTGTACAATCTGTTGACTGCAGTTTCATCAAACTGTACACTTCACAACTATCTCTATCTCTTTGACTACTTGCAGATGAATTTAGCCCTTGTTTGCTCAACTTTCACATAAGACTAAGCAACTGAAAGCATAACAGTTTCTTTTTTGGAAATTTCCAAACTTAAAGCTAATAAATCTGCAAAAGGCAATTGAGATTTTTTCAAAATATTTTGTCTTTAGACTGGTGACATTTTGCAGAAAAAGATCAGGGTACGCTCTAGTAGACAGCAGCTTGTTCAGCGTCACATTTTAGCAGGTAAATTTCATTTGATATTTAATTTGTTAACAGCTGCTATTGCTGTGTTTAATGAGATGTGCATGATTTTTAGAGCGCCTCTTGGGTGCCATATTCTCTTAGGTAAACCTTGTGTAATGTTTTGTATTCATTAGCTGGAAATACCAGTTCCTAACTTGCTCAACCTACTTGAAGTTTTTGGACCTGTAAAAATCATGTTTTGCCATGCAAGTTGTCATGCAAAAGCCTGGATGTTTGTGTCTTTTATTACAGACTGTGTTGGTTTTTACACAGAAATCTCTGATTGCATTAAAGTTTATTAACCTATTGCTCTGACTTTGCTTGCCATTCGATCATTAACTCACCTTATGGTAGCTAGCATGACAGAAATTAAGACAACTTCCTTTGAGAAGTCAGTGTTTTGTAGTATTTGGCTGCACACGTCCTGCTACGAAAATGACTTCCTCCTTTCTGTTTATGGCAGTAATTTCCCCTTTTTAGAAGTATTGCGATGTGAAATTTGCTATAACTCTCATGTCCTAATTCTTAATAACACTGAAACCTTGATGCTTTGGCTTTACAGATTCTAAAATAGATGCCTCCCTGCAAGGGAAACAGTCAGCTTTAGAAAGGCACCGGATTGCAGATTCCTTGAACGAGCAGCTTTTCAATAGACCTGGCCCCTTGGAACTTGTTAGGGAAAACATCTTGAAAGTTGAACCGAATTTTGCAGATGCAGTTAAGCATGGTTGTGTTCCATTTCACCCAAGTTGTAGGGATGTATCTACATCTCCAGTAAGCAGCTTGTACCCAGATTCGCCTTTGTCTGAGGTTGATGCCAGTCGCTGTTCGATAGATTCGCTGTCTCCTGTTGCAGGTGATCCTATTGATACTTTTTCTCGAGCGTTTTCAGAACATGTGAAAGTTGAAAGCATTCCTGTGAGCAATAATGTGTCTAGTGCAGTTAGCGAGTTAGAAAGCTGCATTGTGTCCACATCGGATTTTTTCTCAAATAACAATGTACGAGCAAAGGAGCCCGCTATTCGTAAACAATCGAAAGGCAATAGAAAGAAGCAACAGTCGCAAAACAAGCAAAAGATAAAAAGATACAAGTATCATGAATACAAACCTCCAGGGATAATGCCTCCAACGTATCAAGCTCCCCTTGATGATCGTTATAAGCGCCTTTTGGAGCAGCAACAAATGTTTCTCCAGTTGCAAGTAATGAAGCAAAATGCACTGTTTGAAGCAATAAATGGTTCCCTTAAGGACCCAGTTAAGGACAAAATGGATGTGGAAGAGAGTTCTCATTGTCAAAATGAATCTCAGCTGTCACCTACTCCAACGAATGCTCCAGTTTCATACAGCAATTGCGCCGGGCTTGACGATATGAAAGTATCTGATCTACGTTCTGAACTGAGGCAGAGAGGATTGCCAGTCTCAGGGTCCAAGGCTAAGTTGCTGGAGCGACTTAAGTCGTACGAAGACAGGAAAATAGCTACAGCCGAAGAGAAACTTGCTGATGTTGCTTTTTCACCAGTCCCCGCTAACATGCCAACTAACACCAGTTCTGCTCAGGATTCTGTTCAAGAGTCTTGCCCAACAACAGCTCATGGCAGCTCGTTTATCAAAGTAACAACGTATGCGGGGCAAAATGGCGAAACATTTCAGCTGGTCCAAGCTGTTCCATCATCAGAAATTCAGTATCAGTTGATTCCAAGCTCGGTTGTCTTAGGGCATGGCCAGTCGGAGAATGTCCCTGTTCAACAATTAGGGGTACATGGTGGTCTTCATACCAAAGGAGTTTTGCAAGTGCCAGCCTCTGTGTCGTCCATTGATCAGAGAGTATTGCAGAATGTCATGAGCTCAGTCGTGAGCCAACCGAACCAATCGTTCCCGAAAGTTGTTGACCAATCTGTAAGCCAGTCAGTTAATCAACAACTTATCAATACTTCCGAAGTTCAAATTCATTTGTCGCAACCAGCAACGCATACATTAGCAGGAAATGCATTGTTGGACCTTACATCAGCGCTTGACAGACATCCAAATCCTGTGATCGATGCGTTGACATTGCAAATGCTCAGTGAACATGTAAATCATCAGGCTTCAAAGCCGCAAGCAACTATTGAAACACAGACTTCTTATGAACCGTCAGAAACCGATAGTGCTGCAGATTTTCGTCATACGTCCTTACTAAACAAGTTGCAAAGCATGCAAGAGAACTCTCAGCAAGCAGAGAGTTGTCATCATCTACAAAATCATGAGCACGTTAGCGCAGGAAATGAACAGCAAGGCAGTCCACATCATTACCAATGGGAAATAAACACTGGTGGCCAGACTCGTGGTAAGCATAATCGTCAGTACGAGACTAATATCGGACAGGTTCGAGATAGGTCACAGACTGATCCGCTGATGTCGCGTTCAACCGTTGACATGTATGCGAGTCAAGACCGCTCAGCACATATGGCTGCAAATTGTCATACAGAGAGGACAGATGATGCTGGCACATATATTAAAACAAACGGGAAAGATTTGCGTACATTTTCACTACCAAGTGGAATTATGGTATGTATTTAATAGCCTTCATTTTGAAAAGTCTTGAAAATCCAAATTAGTGTCTGCTTGTTTGGTTTAGCTGGTTTGCGTTCTGTTAAGTTACAAAGAAACTCAAATTGACTCATTGCAAGTGACAAAATAATGTATAAATCCAACTACATCATTCTGCCTTTTTCCATAAATTAAAACTTTGTACAGGTTTCTATTTGCTTGAGATGTTTTGAAAGTTGTAATAGAAGCTATTTCAATCATGGAAATTTAACTTGCTACATTGTTGTGGTACTAGTGGAAATCTTTAATTTCTTGTTTACAGGAAACGAACATGAAGTGTCCGTCGGATGCGTCCGATGATTTAATGGACATATTAGGAGGTAAGTGCCCGTTAATGGTAGATTGATCATAGAGAGATACTTTCAGGGGTGGGGCTGGTTTCAATGTTGTGAATAAAAATGAAACACTTTTTGGAACGGTTTGGAAGAAAGCGTCTTCGAGCATGCTGTCCAACTCATCGTATATGTCCAATGAGGGCATAGTACTGCAAAATATTAGCAAATAATTGACAAGGGTTGTAACGTCGATGTTGTCACCTGCTGCCTTAATTATGACTGCATGTATGTCTCTTCTTTTGCATTTCTAGAGCTTTCTGGAAGCGCAGCTCCGCCATTAGATGCTAATGAAAACCAGTCTATTGGGTATGCACGGTACGCACAGACATTGCAAAATGAGATGCAGGTCAAGGGAGAACCTTCTTCATTCCACTTAACGAGTTCTAAAAACAAAACATTAACACCTCATGTACTAACTTCGCAACGCCCTTATGGGTCGCTGCCGGGCGATTTGAACTTACTTGGTGCTGGTCTGAACTTAAACACGACGCCTTCTCTATTAGCTACCGGATCGCTTCATAATATTCCACACAGAGCGTCGTCTAATGCCATGAACACTGGCCACAATGCACATGGACTAGCTCTAAACTCTATGGATATAGATGACGTTGACATGGAGACCGATCAATCGTATTTTTCAGCAAATGACTTGGACTGGCCTGGCTTGCACCAATTGGACAACACTAACAGTTCTCATAATAGACAAATCGATAAACCAGTAGGTAAAGACTTGGATAACCATCACTGTGTTGATGGTTTGCATTTGGATCTAATGTCTGCTAATTTGTACGAGGATACAAAATCACATGACCCCTTGTCGATATTTGATGTTGAAGGGAGTCATCATTTATTGATGGCGGCGGACTCTCACGACACTGAAAAATGGGACTTCTAGTGTTATAAATAGTTATTTATAGATGTTAATTTTAATTTTCTACGTTGTAAAAAGAGATTGTCAGTCGCTACCAGTAAATCTCCAGCTATGGTGTTTTGAAAAGGTATGTTTCGTTGACTTTTGCACGCTATGAAATGCTGGATTTCCTTCGTTTTAGCAAGAATCCTGGCTAACAAAATATTCACTATAGATTGATATTTTCTAGTAAACGCGCTTATCTCTTTATCGCAGATGGAACTAGTTTCAGTCGAGAGTCGATCTCTTGTCTTGGCAGCATGTATTTATAGCGTATTGTAAATATATCAAATTCTGCTAATTCGTTCAAGTATAAAACTATTTCAGATAAATATCAGTTAAAATACCCCGTACTTGCGCTTTTAAGATTATGACAATTTATTTCAGAATACAACCTCGTCTTTGTAGCCTTAAATTCGGTTTTAGCAAATGTTAGGAATATATGTTTTGAGAAATGGTCGTAATTATCTGAAATTAAAATATTCCTTGTAAAAAGAATATCAATAAGAATCTTTTTCTTAAGCATTTTCATATCAATATAACAAAGATGGTTATTAAAGCGCGCCTGCAAATCCAGAAACATGTAAGTGTGGAATGGCAATTTGCAATTTTCCAAACAGATTACCTTGAATTTTGCCAGTCTTAGGTTGACGCATTGAATGTAAATTAAACCTCAATCAGCGTTATGTATTTAACTTTTTATTTCTTAAATGTTGATAGATGCAACGTTTCGCCTAAGGGACGAACTGTGAAAACGGAAAACGCAGTCTGCAGGAACTCGATTGATTTCGTCGTCTTACATGGGTTCAGGGCAAGGATCAAGATTGGTGAAATTTCAGCGCATAGGTCAATTTTTAAAGCATTCTATCAAAACATTGACCCTTCTGACGTTTTTTGGAAAAATTCAGATATTTTCATCTGCCTCACAAAACGGCGCTTGAGCTCATTATGCAGGAATATCGATCACATATATTCTAAAGTCAGTATTCCTGCCAAGTGCCCACAAAATCCTGTAATGTGCCTGCAGAACCATGCAATGAGTCCCACAGGCAGTTTGTTACCGTTTGTGCCTATGCAAAAATATGTCTGATTATTTATAGCGCAGTCGGTAGGAATGTTTTAGTATTAAAGGACGTAAGAGGTTTTTTGTTTGCTGTTGACTTGAAGACGTTTAATGAATTAAAACCAACCCTTTGTATCTGCGATTTTACTTTCGATACTTTCTGCTGATCATTATAATTCTAAAATCCATCATGAATCAAAATGCATCACGTTTTTTTCTAAATCAAAAAATTAACCAGGTCGATCGAATTGTAGGTATGCTCAGGCACGCCGGAGCCCCAACTACTGAATACTGATATTTTACTTGAAATTGTGAGAAGACCAAAGACCTATCCTCTTCAGGATACATGTTTGATAATTAATTACAAGCCACCGGAGTCTTCTATGTTTGAACCTCTTAAAATTTTAGCGATAATTTTACTAGACCTTCAAACAGGACAGTTTCACAGGAATAGTTGCCAAGTAACCATACCACAAAAGAATTTATTTAAATTTTGACAATTCAGACATCTAAACAGCATTGGCAAGTACGTAAGAAATTGATCAAATCTAGTGTTTATATTGATCCATCATTGTAAGCAACACTTTAGGAACACATCCAAACGAGTCCATAAAATTTCACTGAAAACGAGTGTTGAACTGCTTATTGCAAGCTAAGCCAACTCATCATAATAGGGGGCATGGGCCAAGTTGCCAGCAACGACAAACGACGCCTTGGTTGCGAGAAGTTCCTGAGTGACCTGCAATTTAGAGAAGCTATGGATTATAGATTCGATAGTATACGATGGATTTTGCGGTCAAAATAATAAAAAGGAGATTGAGAATACATTTATTAGTGCCAGTCGAGTTTAAAAATGGATGTCACTCTGAAAAATTAAAATTGTCTTTCTATCAACAATTGAAAATACCTATTAGTATGTAAGGAAACATTAAATATGTTAATCTTTAATTTATTGTTGAGCCCTATTGTCGCTCACAATCTGAGAAACCCTAATCGCAAACAGAATGAAGCAAACAAACTGCATTTTAAAAACTAACCCTCCTTTTTTCAGACAAAGCTCAAAATAAATAAAATTGTGACTGACTCATGAATGAAGCTAAAAAAGGAACTTGAACTCTCAATGAAACAGGTTTTCTCTAATGATGCTACAGTCGTTCAGGGTATGCTTTAAACTATGGAATTAGCGCATGTTCGGGTAAGAATGACAATAGAAATTCTTTTTAGTTATTCTGCAAGATCTTTCTATAGATAGATCGCCATTACCCTCCACCGAAATTGAAAATCAAATGAAAGTGAACTTGAAAAAGGTGACCACAGTCAGTTTCCAGAAAATCTTAACCTCAAATCTTAATCTCAAATCTTAAATAAGATAATGAAAGCAATGTTAAAACAGGGGTTTGCGTTGCTTTTGGGCTCAGGTAATTCCCCCAGTCTCGGAGGACTCAGTAGAGCTCACCAACATCATCAAGACAAGAAGTCAACAAAAATAATTTCAATTACCTTTGAGAGATCGGCTTTAGTTACTGCATCAACTCCAGAGCAGATCTCAGTGGGGGATTGGTAGACACCGCGAGAGAGCATCTGTAAGTAGTCAGAAGTGAATCTTTTGGTAATTTCAAACGCAACAAGATGATAAATGCTTAAACATTTTTATGCTAAATTAGTCTTATGCAATTTTTATGCAAACATTTTTATGCTTAGAGATTTACCAAAATCCAAATAATTCACACACTGCGTTTCCCTACTAAATGTTGTCATGAAGGTATATTTGTTTGGTGGAAAATTTTACAAAATTAATTTCTTTAATATCAAAGATGATGCATTTCGGATCATCTACGAGAAAGGAAAAGCTTCAAAATCAAGTTGTTAAGTGATAGCTTTGGCTGGATGACGTAAGCATGATTCATTAAGTTAAATGAAAAATTGACTGTGAAGTGAAGAGGTGAAAACACGCAAATAACATTGAGGGAAAGAAGACTTCCTTACCTGATTCGCAACATCTTCCAACATAGCATCTTTGTTTTCATTGGCCATTAGGGCAGCAGCCTTCATCTGATTCCTGGGAGGTAAACGACATCATCTAAAAAACTTTATTAAGAAATCTATAACAAAAAAGGCCGCGGTGTTGTAAAATGTACTTGAACAAAAATTTAACTAAAACATACTTGGCACGGGCCATTTCTTCATCCGTAATCTTTCCTTTGGCAACGGCTTTTATTTCGTTAACTGCTGCTCTAACAACCTTTTACAGGAGAAAGAAGTAAGCATTAACTATTAGAAATTCATTTCAAAATTCTTATACTTTGATGACGATGGCTAAACTGTTTCAAATACCGGATTCTACGCTTTCTATATTTCAGGCAATCTGCGAGCTAATTTTAAATATCAGAAAGACCCAGGTCCAGGGGCGTCGCGAAAGGGGGGGGGGGTAATTGTAACATATTAACAGTTCTGTGTAGTTGAACTTTCAAAGTATGGCACTACATTATAAACTTTGAAACAGAAACGCATAAAAGTAGCATGTAAGAGTATTTATCTTTTGACCACACCCTTAAAGAGTGAGACGTCTTTTCTGGTCGGCAAAAATCACCTCTTCACCCCTTCAAACAGTTTTCTTGGCTCCGCAGCTGCCCAAGTCGATGATTTGTGCAGATGTATTTTTCGAAAAATTCTTCAATCTGATTAAAGATTAATGGACACTAAATGGCGGATAGACAAAATTAAAACATCAATAAAATGAATATTCCCATACCTGGGTCGTATCCTTTGGGTCAGTGATTGTGTAGAAACCAAAGAGGCCTTTGTCACTGTGACAAATGTTCAGAGAAGATGCCTAGAAAATTAGATTGTTCTCTGCTCTATATGCTCTTTTACTCTGGTGCATAAAACTGCCAGTATCACATTTTACAAGGCTTTGCATAAGCCCCTTGGCAGAGTGGAAAATATGCAAAAAGGAAGTGGCACTAATTGTCACAAAATCGCTGCTTGCCATTTTATAATGCACTCCCAAAGATTCTAAAAAAGTAGTATTCGAAGGCTACGTTCTTCAAAAGAGGATGGCAATCTAAAATGAAACGATTACGAGAAAAATTAATTTAAAGCTCACCATGAATGGACTCTCTGAGACACTGGCAGCTGCTTTATTTAACCTGAAAGAAAGACAGCAAGAGACTTGTCACCGAACAACCGTGGCATTTGTTGCTTTCATTATGACTGTTATGACAGTACCTATTTAGGAATCACAAGGGTATCGCTTAATATTTTTCCAAAACAATTCAAATACGATTTAGTGTCGTTGAAAATGTAAATAACTAACAGGAATTTTACTTTGAAACAGTTCCAAGGAGAAATCTTCCGCGTCTTTTACTGGTCCATGTCTTGACCAAAAGGCATAATAGTCAATGAAACACTTGCTTTAGATGTTGATCTATTTGCTTGTTATTTGGCTAAATCAAAACTTTCCCTGGAAAACATTTTCTGTCAACAGCTCTTCAGTCGAAACTGAACCGAGTGCAAATTTGACAATTCTTTTCAATTAAGAGGCCCTTGTTTGACAGCTAAGATTTGAAGACATTCATGGAAAAAGTCATGTAATGAGCAGATAATGTAGACCTTAGCGATAAGCATTTAGATGAAAGCAGTGATACTCACCTGGAAGAAACTGTGTTACTGCCATATTTGATAAACGAACCACTGCCAATCATATGCTGGAAACAACAGGGACGTATAGTATAGATATATATCAATGATGCATTTCAGCGAATTATACAGCAATTTTGCAAAGCATAGTGAAATATGATTCATTCACATAATAATCTTGCTATTTATTGAAAAATTTAAGAGAAAAATATAAGACGGAGGTAAAAATACATACCTGAAGTACTCCGTAGGTACAGAGGTCTTTGCTCACGTGACTGAAATAATTAAATAGTAGTAATCCAAAATGTATTGAGTTGGTTTTATGGGGAAATAGCCGAATTTTGAAATAAAATAGTGAGAATGAATTCGAATAAAAAAATAAGTGTGATGCAAATACCTGGGGCCTTCCACTGCAAGAGCGACATGATTAAGTTTTGATTCGTTGTCCATGCGAATCTCACCTTGAAAGAAAAATCAACTTATTATACGAATCTCGCCTTGCAGCGCAATAAAGAGATATAGCTGATATGCCAAATCACTCTCTCATTCTCCAACAAAACTGGATTATGAGTGGAACATTGTATGTCTGTGTTATTTCTCCAGTATGCACTTTGACAATCTGTGAAGTTAATATAACTGAAAGCATGCCCAAAGTCATTACTGAAAATGTGACTAACGTATTAGAAATCAATTACAACAACCACAACTTTCATTTTGTCTATACTAATATAGATTGATACTTATCGGATTGGAGTTTCATTTTAATCTTCTCGCAAAAGTCTCACCCACCAAGTTGAGATCAAATAGAAAAACATACCACCAAAATATTTTTGCTTTCCTTCGGAGACGACCGTCCCACGTGGGATACTGCCAAGTGTTACTGAAACATCTTTTACCAATGCTTCATGCTCACAGCCTGAAGTTCGGAAAGAGAACCTGAGTGAGCTTTTTCAAAATTCACAAATTACTGCCGAGAATAACGATAAACAACATAACAGGAATGCAAATATTTCCACAACACATTTCTTTTTGCAAGGAATGGCTCTTAATCTAGTAGTTTCTCACGATTAGACACAAAAAACTGTAGTAAATGACTCTTGCACAACTTCATTACTTCGCTCGACAGGGCTGCATTCCTTCATGTAAAATACGCACATTGTTTTCGGCTGGCAAATTATATTTGAATAATATATTTGAAAAGAACATCAAAAAGGGAATATTGATGCGACAAAAACGAAAACACTGGTTGACCTTTTAATGTCTTCAAAAAGGAAAGGGATCCTAAGGTTTTCAAAGAACCGGTTTCCGCGAACCGTATAAACACAAAGTCATCATAGTAAAAGAATATTTCAAGCGAATTACCGATGGCCACGACAGACATTCTTTCCCCGACGAAATTATTCTTGATAAACTCAGACATCTGGCAAAAAATGGAAAATAAAAAGCCATTGAAATGCAAATATCTTTAATTCATATAAAAAATGTGAATGACATTGGACTGCGCTAACTGGGGACAAGTTTTTGGCTAAATGAATTAATGAGGAAGTGTTACCTGCTCTCCTGAATATGATCTATGCTCTTTGCAATATATTGAATTCCCTAGACCAGACCTGCACAAAGGAAAACAACACCAAATTAAAGAAACGAAGAAAATTTTCGCAATCATTTAAAATGTCAAGATGTCGCTTTAACTTTTGTCACTGCTGTTGCGGTTGTTGTTGCAGCTTACATTTCCGGCATATAGTAAGTTGGCGACAAGCAATTTGCCACCTAAAGGGAACGAAGCAAAGATGAAATGAGATTATGGTTTGAAGAAATCACTTGCAAACTCACCTGAAGGCTGCACCGTGTAGTTTATCGAGTACACCTTGAAAGTAATTCATCATAAGAATAACAAAATTATTTTGCAGACTAAATAGCATAGCAGCGAAAAAGCATTTGCATCATAGAATAATTTTTTGCAAAAAGGCCTTTTCACTCTTTCCTCTCTTTTCACTCTTTTCTTCTCCTCTTTGTGAGAGTAAGTGGCTTATGAATCTTGACCTGGTTTATTGCTGGGTTAGGTTTTATTTAGAACATTATACCTTAAACCTTTTTAATATTGTATCATATATTTTTATTTCATACTAACTCTTATTAGATAGTTGGCCTTAATTAGCTTCTTTATAGCTATCAACCGTTCATTTAGTACGCCAACTTTAAACAAATTATTTATTATTATATTATTATTGATCTTTCAGACTTTAAATTGGACGAGATGAAATTTTATTAATCCCACGCCATCTCTATTTCATCTCAACTCATGTGTCCTACTTTCGTATATTTGATCAGATAAGAACTTAGATGAAATAATAATATTTATTACCATTTTAAAAGGAAAGATTTCTGAGAGATGGAACGAAATGAAAAAATTTCATCTTACTTTCAGCACATAAGAATAAATTTCAAATGTACAATGAAGTGCAACATAAACTGTGCGATAATTGCTTGTATACAATACCGAGTTGGAGGTAAGCTTCCAAATTGCTTCTGTCAATTGCGCATAAATCATCTGCATTTTTAATCTACAAGACAAACAAAATAATCTGCCTGTCATGGGTGATCTACAGCTGAATCCCGATGTTGAAAGCTTTTAAACTGTTTTATGGTATGTAAATCAACAAATGGAATAAATTATGCCTTTCACTTATTGTAGCAGCAATGAGTTACATTGGCAAGTGCAAGATTACAAACCTCCCAGCTTTGAAATAATGGGCCATGAACAGATGATGCAATTATCTCCAACATTGGGTTTCTGATGATGAAGAAAAAAGTGCATAGTTTCAAACAATTATAAAATTGCGATTGTGGAGATAAATGTCTTGGTATCCATCAAACACACGTATTTATAAATAAATTAAGAAAAATGGCTTGGAGGAAATAGGCTTGCAAAGGAAGTTTATCTGCAAAATTAAAGAAAAGCAAAGCTACTAACACTGAGTCTTTCATGCATGAACCAGAATATATGAAATGGTCTCTTGAGTTTGTGACACTGAAAACAAAAAAATTTAAACATCATACAAGTATCTAAAAACTGTCCTAGAAAGATAAAATGGAAAACATTAGGAATAATGATAATAGTTCACAAGCTATGAATATTGCAACCCAGAGCGCCATTAAAATTCAACTGAAATTACAAAATAACACAATTTAAGTTAGATTCTAACAATAATTCGGAGGAAATCTTAAAGGTGCAGGCAAATTAACATTGAATTAAAAGCAAGATCGTGAATGAATAAGTTCTTTGGCCCTTAAATATTACGATAATGCAAGGATGACTAAGTTGTTAGAGGCGCTGACTCTGATCCGAGGGTCCGTGGTTCGAGTCCCTGACATGACCAAACTTTCACCCAGAGTGGGGAGAGTCGCCAGCTCTATGTAATTCCAGGCGTAGGAATTATAAGGTGTGGTCACATCGAGAGGAAGAACCAGGACACTGCTCGATAAGCATAGCTTCTCAATGTCCTAAAAACTACCTTCGGATGCTAGGTAGCAACAAATACAATTACAAATAATAGATTCATGGTTTGCATCAAACATACCCAAGAGAAATACCATGCTGCTGCAATTCCCTTGTGGCCCTTAATGAGCTTTTGCTTTTGTTTGTCTGCAAGAATAAAATGCCCATTTGTTATCATTTGTTTTATAATCTTGTAATGTCCACTTCTTTTCGCAACTAGGCCTTTCTGTATCACCAAACCTTAATAGGAAATCTCACATTTCTATTGCTAAACCTTCATTTCAACCAAAAAAATTGGTTTCGTTTCTAGAGCACGTGGATTCTTCTCGCCATCACAACACTTGACAATTTATAAGTTCCAAATCTGTCCTTCCTTTGAGTACCACTCTCGTATTTGGGTGGTGCTCCAAAATCTCCCCCTTGCTTTCTTGAAAAAATCCAATTTCCCATCAGCCATCAGTCTTTTTCTCATTGACACTGTGTCACCAATCTCTCACATTTTTGGACATTCTACCACAGACGCTGCTCTAAGGAGATCAAAGATATGATCCCAGGTCCCCTGAGGCAAGTATGTTATACAGACTACTCTTCAGTGCCCATTGTCTAAATTTAGCTTTGCAAACTCTGTCCCACAACTCATCCTTCCTTCCCCGATCTTGTAAATTTTGGAGGGCCCTACTCTTGATCTTATCTCTCTCTCCCTCCTTTGTAGGGCTTTGATGTAGGCTCCTGACACTAGCATTACAGACTAGAAACAAATACTGAGTCTAACGAAAATGACAAACAGTTCATTGCAAACTGGTTCATCCATGTTGTTAAAGTATATCACTAGAAGGCTTTCAAAAATAATTGGTATATCATAAGATGTGGAAAAAAATTATCAAAAGAAGACTTCCAAGAATAGTTGGGATATCATAAGATGTGGAAAAAACTGCATCATAATTGCCAATACCGTTCTTTTACAATCCTTACCAAAAATGCAGAATTCCGTAAAAAGTGTGTGATTCCAAGATTCGAAGGGTCTTCATATCTACTTCCAGCTTTGATATAGACTGATACTTTTGATACACCACCATCACTGTTAATAGATATGATTTGGACTCCATTGTCTAGTTTGGTAACCTACAACAATTGCATACAAACCAAATTTAGCATACTAGCAAGCATATAAGACAATATAATGGGTCAGTAATGACATCAACAACAGGGCCTAAAAAATGAGTGGTAACGGCACTGCCAGTAGGGTAACTACAATGTTCAATTTCCCAGGCAGAAAAAGGGAAAATGGGAAGTAGGGGAAGGAGGGAAAGAAGTAAGGAGATAAGGGAGACATTCAAAACTCCTCCGAAGAAGGGGAAAAGTCTCTTTTATTACAACAGAACCTTGGAGAATTTTTAAGTGTTTTTTACGATTACAGTTTATAACCGGCTTCAGTAGGTGACCGGATTTCAGAAGCAAATCTGGCCTGAACTGGATTCTCAAAAAATGAGCCCAATATTCGCTACATATTTTCATAGAGGAGCATATCAACTGAGCATGGCTAGTTAAATTCAAAGATTGTCCATTTCAGCTACCAAACTTGACATTTTTTGTTTAGCCCTGACATCCTAAATGCAAGAACACTATATTTTTGCATGTGCCTTGAAAAAATTTCAAAGGAAGGTTGAGCTGGTCATAAGCTTGCTACCAGGAAGGAAAATGTTTTTTGAGCTCTGATCAACAATTTGGTTATGGTATTATTTATACATAAAACAGTTTTTTATGTTTGAAATATTAACTATTGGGCACTTTCCATTCTCCGAAACATTTCAAATTGGTTTTGTAGCTGATTTCAATAAAATGATGGATGAGCCTTGTACTAGCTTTTAGAGCAGGAGTTATTTTTAATTTTTTTTATTTCACAAGTACTTCTATGAAGCCCAAAGTTGTAGTAACAAGAGTTTACATAATCTACTACCCAAAGTCTTAACATTGTAGCATTTGCAGAAAGACAAACAGGTCTAGTGCCACAGGGCAACAGAATGTGATGCAGGCCTCTTTGTAAGGAAACATCCCACATGAGTGGCCTCCTGCTAGCATGATTTCTCTTGGGCGAGCAGTCACTCCAGGTAAAGGTAACAAATGTTAGTAATTAAAATCAACATTGCTAAAAGCATCTTCAACGTTTATAAAAATTAAACAATCCTCTTATAATATATTTTAGTGTAAGGTAACATCAAATAAAAAGGAACTGTTGTGATGATCTTTGATGCACTCCACGAAAGACTTAATACCAAATATAAATGTGCTTTATTTATAAATTTTATGTACATCACAAAGGTCATATAGATGTTATTGGTGGATGGTCACAAAATGCTACACGAAACCTTTTTAAATTCCTTAAACTGCCCAGAGGATGTTTTTTGATCAAACATTTATGTGATCGATCAAAGCTTGCATGGTTGTGTTTCCCCATGTGCTGGCACAATCAAAGTGTTTGCTCCTGTCAAATTTAATGCTCTGGTGATCAAATCATCTTATTCAGCCTTTCAGAATGAAAACTATTTGTAGTATATGCCAGTATACATCACTTTATATGATATTATCACTATATGAAAATATGATGATTGATTATAATATAATTTAATATGATTTGATTATGTATTATTTATCAACATTTGATAAATAAAAAACCAGCTAATGAAAAAAAATTATCTAAAACACACAAATGCCCTTTTGTAAGTCGTGTACAAATTAAAAATAACAATTAGGCAATTATTGTCATTTCTGACAAGGAATGTTCTGAAATGTTCAAATTGTTTGCAAAATATAATAACCTTCAGTTCAGGCTCTTTTGGAGTACCACGGTTAACTAATGAATCATCCAGGCACTCTGTCACTGGAACCTGCGTTGCTTGCACATAGTGGCGCTACAAAAATAAACATTTATACAATATATATACTAAGACAAATAAGCTGCTTATAATTTAAACAAATCTATTTGGTAATACACAAGCAAACTAAAAATACCTCAAAAGTTACAAAAAGTTGCAATTTTTCAGAAGAGGACCATTCTTTTTCCAAAGCAGACAACTATAAAATGGCTTTGAAAAAAGCAAACATTTTACAACATACTTAAAGCTTTTTCGTCTGACACTCCTCAGAGCATAAAACGTCAGAATAGGTTCCGAAAAAACATGATGGAAAATTATATACCCAGTTGTGGATCGAAATAGGCCAATCAGAAAAATGTTTGCTTTTTTTCAAAGCCATTTTCAAATTCTGTACCGCAAAAAAATTGTAGACAACTATAACAAATAACAGGACTCTTCTTTTACAGTAAAGACACAGGGAAGTCATTTTTGCATACTGTGGTTTCTCTCAACGTCTAAGCAGTGTGATCATCAATGCTCACCATTTATATTTATGATTTAAAGTTTTATTCCAGTATCTGAGAGGCAGCTTTTTAAAAAACATATTGCATAGATAACTAAATGTAAGATAGATTAGAATCAAATGTAAAAAAGGGTAATAAATTGTCCAAACTGTGGTTTTTATATAATGTTTTTCTTATTAGGAGTTTCATAAAGAAACATTTACAGGACTGTTACACTGGGGAACTCAAGTGAGCCTAGGCCTATTTTCTGGCCAAAACAAAACTGTTAACAGTAGTAAGGGACTGAGCGGAGCGCTGTTGAGGAAATTTCAAATAGTGGCTGCAAAACAAAAATTAATTTTGCAATGCAGAATGTTTTTGGCTTCCAAGACCTTAAATGTGACCAAATTGCCTGACTTATTCGGCTTCCAAATTGCCCGGCTTCCAAGACCTTAAATGTGACAAGAGCATATCAGCTATAAGAACTTTCATAAAGAAACAGTTATCATTAAAGAAATTTTAGCATTGAACTGCTATGGCTGAATAAAAGTTAATTTAGCAAAAATCAATAGCATTAATGCCAAATAAGTAGGCTGAAATAATTTAATGAAGGTATTCATTTTGTTCTGGCTAATATAACTTTTTTTTAGAAACCTTTTTGTCTATGTGGGTTCTCATAAGGGATCAAGATTATGCCAAAGTAAAAATGCAGAATATTAACACACAGGATCATGTTCCTTATTATTCTATAAACTATCTGACAATGTTTCAGAGCTGTGTTATTCAGATCCTATAAAAATTTGCTACACGCATGGCTGAAGATCTTTTATAGACCAGGTTAACTCTAAGGCAGGTGCCACCTTAATGCAACTAAATTCCTGTGGCAATCTTCAAGTACCCACATATGTAGGGGTTCAGAAACGATGGTGAAAAGTGATCTGCTGGTACCTAAGGGCTGAAAATGAGGATGAAACAGTTACCACTATGCCTCTGCAGAGAAGAAAATGAAATATTTTGTTTTGGATATAACACAAGTTACATTATTTGTTTGAAAGCAGTAGGTAAGTCCATTTTTGTGTATGTTCTGTTGCAAACCTCCTAAATTATGATGAATTCGAGGACAGTCTACGTTGTTAAAGCTATCCGCAAAGTTTTCTTCTACTCTCCCTCTGGTGATTAAGATATTTTAATAACAACTGAGCAGTAAGATTAGAGGGGCAAAGGCGAGTTGAGCCAGGGAAAATTAGGGGTCCACACTCTTTGCCTATGCCAAAAACCATCCTTTTTCAAAGAAATTTTTTGCCATTGGGGGGGGGGGGTGTCCTCTTGCCTCCCTCTTGCTAATCCACTGTTGATAGGAGATTTGCAATGCATAAAAGGTTTTGCATCAGGTAGGTCCGCAATATCATGAAAATGGACATTGCGTCAAAGCAGAACAGGCCAAAAGCACCAAATGTTTGTTAAAGCTGGCTGAATTAACAAATGAATCGACTAGGTAGCAACATGGTCAAGGTCTGAAAGAAGAGCATATGAACTCTTTCGACAAGAAGTTAGAAGCTTTGGAACCTTGACAAGATATTCTAAGGTTTAGACACTTTGAAGTTTTTTAAACCATATTCCCTCGAAAAGCATGAGCGAAAACACCTACAGATTAACAAAAGAACTAATGTGCATTGGGAACAATTTCATAACCTTTTTGCAAGCTCGAGATCTAAAGATTAATTAATACATTATCCAGTATAGTGGAGCCCAGCCCAGTGAGTAAATGAAACGCCGGTTTTTGCAGGGCAGGCCAATTTATCCTTTCTAGAGAAGTAAATGAGACATATTCCATAAAAATAGTTGACTTGTCAAATAAAGCAGCTTAATATGTCAAACCTGACTTACTGATAACTTTGGTAGTTGCAAGCAATCCTTGCTTAATGATGACAGAGCTTTCACCCTTCTTGTCATGAACATCTTGGCCTAAATTCAACTAGTCGAAGGGGCATGGGAACGAACGGCGACACATTACACCGTTAGAGTTTTGCTCGCTTGGTTCCCTGTGCAGGTAAAGACGTTTTTATGTGAATAAAGACACCCAGAGAGCTAATTTACATTTATTTTGGTTAATTTTGGGGTGTAGAATCCGAATTTTGATGCTTTTTAGTCAGGCGAGAAACCGTTTATAAGATATGGGGCTAATTACCCTCAAGATGTGGGCAAAATGAAACCTTAGCAAAAATATTAACCATTTTCACTAATACGAAATCTATACGTAAAACGCAGTTTTATATATTGTTTTATGTATTTTTAACCTTTTCAACAGTTTTTCGCATCATTTTTCCTTTTTTAGGGCGTGGAAATGCCCCCAAATGAGGGCAATATTTAAAAATTTGTTAGAAAATTATTTTGAAATATTCATTTTTATCAAATTTTACATGAATCCGAACTTGCATGTTGTTTGATAAAATTATAAGTAAGTGATTGACTATGGAAGCTTTTAACCCCAAAAGGGGGCTCATGCTATTTAAAAAACGTCTTTTTGATAATGGAAAGAATGCATTTTCATCAAATTTGAGGCACTGAACTCGAATTTTGCAACCCAAACAAGTACGTATCAAATAATCCACGAAAGTGCTTCCGCGAGTCAGAGATAAACGGATCCGAGCAAAGAGTAAGGAAAATTTTACAGATCATGACAGAATATTTTCTCAATCCGTTCGATCCAGCTCTAGATTCAGATAAATTATATAACCTCGCATCAGGAAGTCCAGTTGCAGACGATATCGCAGAGACTCTATTGACCGTAGAAAAACGTGGCTGCTCAATGAGAGACGAGTTTTGTAAAAGAATCAGTATCACGATCACCGGTCTAGGGAGGAGGCCGGTGATCGTGATACTGAACCGACTGGTCTCATCAGCATCTTGGTTTTTCAGAGGGGCATCCCTGCATATCAACGGTCTGCCCAGTCAACATGATGAAATTAAGTTTCTTTTAAAAATGACAAGGGAATTCATATTCTTGCCCTAAATGAAACTAAGCTCGGTGGTTCTATTCCAAAAGAGCTGACTGAAATTTCAGGATATCGTCAACAGCGTCTTGACAGGACCAGTTTTGGAGGTGGTGTCTCACTATATGTTAGAGACTCCATCAAAATGACACCCAGGGTCGATGTGCTTGCTGAGGGACTAGAACTTCTCTGTGTGGAGATATCTCCACCCAAAAGCAAACCCTTTCTTGTTGTTGCTTGGTACAGACCAACAAGTGACCCAGTTGGTTCGTTTGATAAGCTGGGAAAAATCCTTGCTTTCCTTGACAAGGAGGGCAAAGAAATCATTCTCCTCGGAGACACAAATTGTGACAACACATTTCTAGCTTGTATGAGCTTTTCAGTTTCAAACAGCTTATCGAGGAACCTACCAGGGTCACTCTTGACACTGCAATAGTCATTGACCGTTTTGCTACAACATGTCCCGGAAACATAAAATCCGGAGGGCTTGGGGTTTCCTTGATTGATCACTACAATGAAAAATTTTCATGAGGAAGCATTCTTTGCTGATATTTCGGGGATATGTTGGGAACAAATGCTTTCTGAAACTGATGATATCAATCTGCTTGTCAACTATTGGTCTGAAATATTTTCTCTGATTATAGAAAAACATGCGTCTTTGATTGAAATGCGGGTTTCTGAGAAATATTGCCCCTGGATTGACAAGGATCTTAGGGATTCGATGCCCACAAGAGACAAACTAAAAAAATCACCAGTCAAAGGTAAATCCCCAATTCTTATGGACGCTTACAGAAAGATCCGAATAAGGTCAATGCCCTTAATGTTCGGTTGAAGAAGCAGCATTATACCAATAGGATCTCTGCATGTCAAGGTAATATGAAAGAATCTTGGAAAGCAATCAATGAACTTCTCAACAAAAGATCAAAATGAAGTAGCATTGATTGTCTCATAGAATCTGGTACAGAAATTCGGAACAAAAAAGATGTTTCTAATGCAATGACCAATTTCTTTTGCACTATAGGTAGGTATCTAGCAGAACCAATACAATCTGCCGCTAATCCCGTTCTAACAGGTGAGTATGAAGTTAACAAAGTTAAGGCTAAGTTTAACTTCAAGATAATTGAGCTGAAAGATATCAGGGATGCATTTGCCAAGGTTGAAACAACAAAGAGCTTTTGGATTAACAATATCTCCAGTTACTTTTTGAAGCTTGCTTTGCCCTCTATTGGGAACTCTCTGGCATTCCTGTTTAACACTTCCATTGAAACTTGCCAGTTCTCAGATGCATGGAAAGTAGCGAGAATTACTCCGATTTTCAAAGATGGAGATAGGACTGAAAATCTAATTATCGTCCCATATCAGTCTTGCCTGTCATCTCAAAGCTCTTTGAAAAGCTTGTTTTCAACAAGCTGTACCAGTATATGAAAAAAATGGCCTCTTTACATCGGACCAATTAGGTTCTTTGCGGCTACGTTTCACATTAACCTGTTTGCTTAAAGTGAGTGATGACTGGTACAACGGGCTCGATCTCGGTAAGCTCGTGGGATTGGTATTTATTGACCTGACAAAGGCATTTGATATGGTCGACCATGATACTCTCTGTAAAAATCTCGAAATTTATGGGGTTCGGCGGCAAGAGCTGTCTTGGTTTAGGTCTTACTTATCCAACCGTAAACTATTCTGTAGGGTTAATGGTGTTGATTCAAATGTCAGGAAAATAGAAGCGGGAGTCCCACAGGGTTCATGCCTTGGCCCTCTTCATATTCCTCATCTATATCAATGATCTTCCACGGGCCATCCAAGATTCCTCTGTGACTATGTATGCTGATGATACCAGTCTTTGTCACCAGTCTCACGACTTGACTCGGCCGAATGAGGCTATAAATAGCGATCTCAAGAAATTGGAGACTTGTTTTGCGAGGCAATAAGCTTTCATTGAATGTGGCAAAAACTCGTTCAACGCTCATATCCACCAGGCAGAAAGGCAGCTCTCTTAGAAGTCGAAATGAAGCCTTGGAACTGAAGATACGCGACAATGAGCTCGAAGTAGTTCACAAGACAAAGTACCTTGGAGTGCAAATCGATTGCTCATTAGATTGGAGAGAGCAAATTAAGGCAATTTCCACCAAGGTCTCCAGGGCGATCGGCTTTCTGAGACATGCTAGATCCTTTCTGCCTGCCTATGGCAAGTTTGAAAACGTTTTATACTGGTATCGTGGAGCCCCACTTTCGATACTGTTTTTCTGTCTGGGGTTGTGCTGGGTCTACAAACATCGACCAGTTACAAAAACTTCAAAATCGTGAAGACCATTGGAGAGCTCCTTGGCAATGAGACTACGGGCTTCAAGTCATACTTTGGTAACTCGGTACCTTTAATGTGTTTATAAACCATAATTAAAAACACACATACACGATCAAAAAATTTTCTTAGAATTTTTGCTGCCCTTCGGGAGCCTCCTCAATAAGTGTATACATTTTAGTCCGTTTACTTTGCTATGATGAAGCCCAGTATGCCGGGGCAAAATATTAGCCGTTACTAATTTATGTGTATTTATTGTTGTTTATTATCGGCGCATTGCGGTGTTTCTTATTTGCTACATTTTTATCTACTTTTCGCCGCAAGAACTCTTTGGAGCACGTCGAGCAGCCTGCTACCGTGACTTTTTCTTAATTCACACATAAAAATGTATACATTTAAAAGAGGCGATGGTGTCGGATTAGTTGATGTGGAATGATGTAAATGCAGCGCAGCGGTGGAGGAGGGAAGGGTGGCGAATGAGAGAGCGTGGGTGGTGGAATGAAAATGAAATGAGGATGAAGTACTATAATATGAAATAATGATAATATTGTTGTAAGGTTAACGAAGGTTAACGGTCAGTGGTTCTGTTCATGCCGTTCGGTGTGAGAGTGTTTGCCAGGCCAATGAGGTATTGCTCTTTGATATGTCTCTCATCTATTCCTGTGATCACTCAAAGAAAATTCGTGAGCCACCAAAACTCAACCATTCAAAACAAAAAACAACAACCAAAAACAATTCAAACACATCAAGAGGTTTCATCTTGAACAAAATTATCGGGAGTACTGTTGGAAATAATTATATAAAAAACAGCGCCAGAAGCACTTTATCAGCCTTTCAGCAGCCTTTATTTAGGATCTATGTACCATAATATATATCCATTCAAATGAGTGGAGAACCTTTTTGAAATGAAGGAACAAATGCTGTTTTAGCAAATATAGACATAAAAGATATACTCCTATCTTTAATCCAAAAATTGCATATTTCATTAGTTTTATTGATCTAAAGCAACAAGAACTATATTATCACCACGAATAAACAATTGATTTACATGTCTCCTTCTTACAACATGTTCAGTCAGTGTTGGAAACGTAGCTAAACAAGGCTTCGAAGACTTTCGGTCCTTCATATTTGTAAATTTAATGTTTGATGTTGTGCATTGAGAAGCGTTTGTCTTACAAGAATCAAACATAGGCCCAATCACTTTGGAACTTTCATCACTGGGACTTTCCTTGATATTTTTCCGCACGTTTTTCTCCAAAGATTTCACACTGGATTTGCCCAAGAGGGTACCGTTATTTGCCTCCAACGTCTTCTCTAAATTAGCAGCTCCGAAACTCCCTGGCTCCTTCGCTGCCTGACTTCGTTTCGTCGTACTATCCTCCTCCGCGTAGTTTCCCGCTGCCTCATTCAACCGATCTTTTATCTTCTTTATCGCAAAACTCCCTTTAATATCTGATGTAGTCTGCTTCTGGGAATCCGTAGAAATCGCTCGTTTTAAAGATATATCTTCAGTTAATTTTCTACATTCAGTTTTTCCCTGTGCTGTTTCCGGTGCCTTTTCAGAATATTTTGGCCTTAAAAGTTCCTCTGCATGGCTAAGAGAAGCTAATGCAGCAACTGTACCCCGATTTGTGACCGCTTGAGGTGTGCCGTCCTCCATATCATCAGAACTAATTGGAATGGGATGGGAAAATTCTTTCATATTCTGTTGTCTACTTAACGCTTTAATAATACGCGGATCTTTGCGACATTGATCACTTCCTATTATTTCCAACAGTTTTGTAACATCAATGCATGTCTTTTGAGTACTATGATCTACTTTTACTAGTTTATACTCAATCGAACGATTTTTTGGTTTTTTCTTTATATTTTGGCTACTGGATGAATGCACATTTTCGTGACTCTTTTCAATTCGTCCGCTAGCTATTTTTGCGAGGTCTTTGGGACTTTTTCCCTGAGCAATGTCATTTAAGTTTGACTTAGAAGCGAAATGCTCCTGAATCTTTTCGTTTTCCTTAAAACATGCTTTCGTTTCAGTTTTTGACAATTGGAGGACTTGCTCTGGTTTTATGTGAGATGGCTTATGATAGGAAGAGCCACTGCATAAGAAAAAACTACATAGGTTTGGTTCTCGAGATTTGCTGTTCTGCAAATTCGACGCTCCTGGCTTCCTTGACGTACTTTCTGAAACATTTTTATCATCTGGAAAACTTAAAGGAACCGCGCTTATAGAATCTTCTTCATTAAACATTATCGATTTTGAAGTTCTGGGTTGACATTCTTTGCTTCTTTCTTCCAAGCCAAATTTAATTTGATCTTTCTGAATAGAATCTTCAATGCTCTTTTTCTCTTCTTCCTTTTTCTTACAAATTACTCCAATATAAGACGAATCCGCATCGCGAGAAGCAAGCTCCATTTCTGCCGGATCATCAGGCTGAATCGTAGACCCAATGTCTGGTAAATCACTTTCACATACATCAATTTCATTTTCAAACTCCTCATCATGTTTCAATCTTCTATTTTGAGAAAGTACCCTACTATCTATCTGGCCTCCATCACAGTCACCGTCCTTCAAGGCAGCGAATTTTCTTCTGACGGACGAGCTTTCTGTTTGGAGAAAATTAGAATGTGTTTCACTAACTTGCCCACTCCTGACATCAAGCTTCATTTTCAAAGACTCCTTTCCACTCTTAAACTCTACTTCTCGTTCATTGTCACATTTCCCCTCAAGCAAATCCATATTCCGTTTGATTTTGTTCAAACGATACCGGTTTCTTTTCTCCTTCTTCTTCGCGTGTCGAATCCTCGTTTGCTCTTCATCAGATAACATTCGGATTTCGATTGTGTAAATTTCATCTACATCTATCATAGCCTGAAATATGAAGGAGAGTTTTTTAACAAAATCTTTCCTGCCCTACATACATTCAAACTGCTTGCAATGCTTTGGAGCAGGCTAAAGGATGACGAATCAATATAAATACTATCAAATATCTAAGGTTTCAATTTAAAAAAAATCAAAGTGCAGATACCATGCTGCGTTAAACTGACATAACGATTGCAAATGAAGACATCATGGTGCGACAACTAGAAAGTGGATAAAAGACGAGTGGATGCAAGATTTCTGAAAAGAACTCCAGTCGTTGTTTCTTAGAAAATCACATTTAGGACTCTTACCAGGTTCATATGCTTGTCAAACGCGATCAAGTACCCAATGCAGACCCCTCTAAGTCCCTTGTACCTCCGTGTCCAAACTTTCAGCCGTAACCGTTGGTGCATACTTTTGTACAGCACATTCAGTGGCCCCTGCTGGCAAGCTGCAATGGAAAAACAAACAATGAAAAATACACAACACTGGCCTTTGAGACGCTTAGTAAGCATATCCATTTAATATTTCCACAGTTGAGCAATGCTTCAACAAGAAAGAGGTATAAACATTGGAGTACCTTCCATTCTTTCAAAAACGTCTAGCCGTTTTCGTCCTTTTTTCCCTTCACGGGAATTTGATTCCACTTCACCAACCATTAAATTCTGAAGTCTCCCAGCTCTGTCATTAAAGTAAGCATTATTTTTCGTCTTTCCTTCTTTTGATGCAGTAACATTTCCTGGCATTCCAGTGGCAACCGTTGAGGTTCCAGGCATGGCTTTAATTTCAGCAACCTCACTTTTACCAATGTTGAAAGGCTTTTGGAAGGCATCATGATTTCCCTCTTGATGTTTTTCGTTAGAAATTTTGGGCTTGGTATTATTTGATGTTTCACCTACAAAAGCAAAGTTATTTCATGATATTTTCAAACAAATGGATTTCACACAGAAGTAAATTACATAGGACATTGAATACCACTAATGTCCATGCATTTATTAATGTTTTAGCATATTTACAATAAAACTTTGCGACTGACAAAAAGAAAGAAAGTTGGCAAACAAGCAGTCAACTACCAAGACACACTGGGTTAACACAAAAGATCCTGGAAAACATCTATCACAGTTAAGGATGTTTTTTAAAGATGGGGGTTAGTTAAAGGGGCTCTAACCCTCAAGATATTACGTAGTTAATAAGAAACGAGAAATAAAAATGGAAGAAATATTTTCGTCATGGAGAACTTAATTTCATACAAACACAAAGGTAAAATATCATTTCAATATTTGGTTTTAATTATTAGGAACCATTCTAAATTTGGGAGGGGGGAGAATGTAAGCAAAAAAGGGGAAATGTATGAGCTAAAAATAGGTAAAATACAACTACATCTGCCTCTCTTAGAAGTGGGGACACATGCCCCCTGTGCTTGCCAGTTCCTATATCTAAGCAATACATTACACCAAATAAAAATATAAAATAAAGCAATGTCCGTAGAATAAGTAAATGCCAAGGTTGTTCTTCAATGTTTGGGGAGCTCAATTGAGCTCAAGTGTCTCTGATTCAAACAAGATCCTAGGGAATTTCACCTAGGGGTCATATCAAACCCTTTAACTAAAGATAACATTCAGCAATGCAAACCTTATGCTTAGCCAGATACATTATTGATTGTCATTTCTAAACCAAACTTGTTATCTTTGTTGTCTGCCAAAATAGCAACAAAACTGGTGATTCAGAACTTGACACAAACTGATCAATGTTTTGTGATTTAAAAGTCAGTTGGGAGCCATGCCAGGCTTCTAGGCAGCTTGTGTGTAATTGGCCCCCTTATAATAGATGATGCAAAAATAGCATAGTGAAATTCTGCTTGAAAAAAAGGTAAAAGGAGATGTAAGTCACAGGAAGAAAAAATAGGCTCCAATAAACCAATTCAGTCCACTGTTTTGTTGTGGAAATTACCCCTAAAACCATTCTTAACATCTGGCCCACAACATAATTTCATCCAGTCTGCCAAATACTTTAAACTTGAAAATATTTTTGGCTAAAACTTTCACAATTTGGAATTTGATTTATCTTTGTCTTTCTTTTGCCTGCTCTGCTAATGATAATACGCATTCCATTGACAGTTATTGGTCTAAAAGGGAGTACCAAAATAAAACATGTTTTTACAATAGAGCTTTCTGTTTCTACCATTTCAGTTATCTATCAGTTTATGAAGTCTAGGCATGTCACTTCCTAGAAGGATAATTGGAACTTCAATGTCAAAGAAAAGATCTCAAAATCCATTTTATAAATCAGCCATGACTTATGTTGTGCATATAGCCTTGTAGATAGCAGATTGTCTTTCCCTTTTAAATAGCCTCTGGCTTCTTATTGGATTTGAAAGAACAATGTATTTAGGTTAATAATAGAGTGAATTGTCTACTCTAGCGCCCAATATAAACATCTCTCCCTGCTTAATAGTTTTTGCAAAAATCCATTCAGGTTATCATTATTCCAGACTCACTGTTTATTTTCAAGCCTTGTGTATTTAGAAACTTGAGAAAGCTTGATTAAAAACTAAATATTGCTATTACATTGTTTTTTATAATTCCTACTTTAAGCCAAAGCTTTAAGAAACCAATATCTTGTTTACATTCCTTCTGTTTCCATATTAAAGTGACTGCTACACATCCACATCTTTATTATGATTTGGAAAATTTTCAAACCAACTTGTTTATCCATGAAATGAGAGTATGTATATATAATTGAAAAAAGTGCCACCAGGCTCCTTTTTGTTTATGGGCCCAGGAACAATTGCCCCCTTGTCATCCACCTTGGCCAGTCTGCAAAATACATTTAATTGAAATTTCAGTTCCATATACTTCTACTGGTGCTTTTTACCAAAGGAAAATATTTAAAAAATGACCAAACGGCATTAAAGCATCTTTTTATATGGTTCTAGCCCCCCACTTTTCTCAATGATTCGCGATGCCTGCCTACCCCACACTTCAGGGGTGTAGTGCTATCAAAATAGCAAGAGGGCCCTTGCACAAAATGTTGCAAAAACAATAGCAAAAGCAGAAATTGGCACATTTGCGGTATTAATAAGGGGGCTCAGGTCCCAAGCACAAAGATGCACACGCTTCGTTACCCAAATAGCATTCTTCAGAAGAAGCATAGGCATATGGGATGGGGGGCTGGGGGGCTTCAGCCCACCCTAGATTCAGGGTAGATATATTCATCTGATGTTGTGGAGGAGATTCGCTTTTTTTAAAGAAAATTTGTGAAATGCTTAAATGCTTATTCTGAAAATGCTTATTATTTAACATTATTTTAATGATATTTTACTCATTTTTGACTGATATTAGAAGCTCACGTGTGTTCGAGTATACTCCGTATTTGGGCGTTATTATTTTTCGGGCAAAAAATTTGGCCAAATAAAAATGAATTATCTGGGAAGCTGATTCCTCACCTGTGTTATTGTTGAGCTTTCCACGAATTCTTAGATCATGTCTATCTTTTTCATTTGGTCTAGCAAGCACTTGCGAGCGACCTCTTGCTTCTAAGAACGCGTCCGGTAGCCAATTTAGAGACCGAAAACTCTCACTTTTGAAAAGGCTTTCCACGTACTTATTAAGATTATTAAAGACTGTTGCACCTGATGATGATGTGATAATGTTATTTGAAACTAATGCTTGTTCTGGGCTGAAATTTTCCGATGTGAAGCTAAGAGACTCATCCAGTTCAGAATGTTCTTCTCCCGCCATTCCTGAGAATAGTGTGAGGCTGTTGTTGCTGTGGCAAAACACAGGGAGTTGAAAGCGACAAAAACAACTCTTTCTCAACCAACATTCCAAGGAGGCAAAGTGGGCAGAGTTGAGTGCGATGGAGTTGAATGTTGACAAAAAGGTGAGGAAATGTCAGCCGCTACGTGTTGGGCTTTGTTTAGCGAGATCCAAAAGGGAGAAACTCAAACTTCCCAGTTCAATATTCCAGCTGTGTCAGGATAATAATATCGAAATTATTGACATAGATTTGGAGGCACCTCTGGATGCTCAAGGACCTTTCGACACAATTCTCCACAAGATTTTAGAGTTTCGAGGCGAAGATAAAGAAAAGGGTGAAATTTATAAAGATAAATTTATACAATATATCAGTAATCATAAAATGCGATTGATTGACCCTGTCTCAACGTGTGAACTCCTGACAAATAGGTTTCAAACAATGGACGCAGTTACCCGTTGCGAGTTTTCAAGCAGGATTGGAAAACGTGTATTTGTACCAAAATTTTGTTATTTAGAGGATCTTGAAGACAACTCAGCAACAACAGAGAAAATAATATCTTCAAGTGGTCTTGTTTACCCAATCATCGTCAAGCACTTTATGGCAGCCAGCTTTGGAAAAGTGGCCCATGAAATGTCTATCATATTTGGTCCTGAGGGGTTAAATGATATTAAAACACCGTGCTTCCTGCAACAGTTTCATAACCATGATGGCTATATGGTGAAAATATACACAGTGGGGACACATTTTTATTTGTGCAAAAGACCATCTATCAAAGATCTGTTTCCTGGAAATTACCCTACCATACATTTTCATAGTGGAAATATTTCAAAACGTGGAAAACAGTCACCTTTACACAGTAGCGGCTCAGGGGAGACTAACGTGGTTAATAATGATCCAAAATTATTAGAAGAAGATGTAGTGAATGAGCTCCTACAAAGATTGAAAAGAGAATTTGAATTTACGTTGTTGGGGATTGATGTAATCATAGACAAAAACACTGGAAATTATGGAATAATTGACATAAATTACTTTCCTGGTTACGATGGAGTTAAAGAGCTCTTTCAAAAAGACTTGGTTCACCTTTTACTAGAAACAGGAAAACCTAGCCAGAATTTCCAGTCTAGTCACTAATTATTTTGTGACAGTAAGAAAAATGTTATGGCAAGATTGTTTATCTCCATGTTGTCAAATTGATCCCCTTCTGGAAGAAATCATATTTTGTTATATGCTTACATTTACTGTGTTCTTTCTTTTGCATGTTAAATACCATGTACTTGTTGGCAGTTTCTTGATTTGGATAAATCGCTATACATTCCTGTTAATATCTTCGTGTTAGATAATATAAAGCCATGGGAAATTCTATTCCGGATGACAAAACTTCAAAAAATTACCAAATTCTTCTGAGTCTATACCAGTTGCTATGATTGACTTGAAATGTTTTAGTGCAAAATTCAAGTGTCTTGCTGTGCATTGTCTGTTGGTTTCCAACTTGTAACCTGTAACTGTAATGAGAAACAAAGAATGCTAGAAAAGCTTTCTTTAAACATCAATGACCAAGAAACTCAACTGACCAAGAAACACATCATATGGTTTTCTTTCGTCAGTCAGCATTTCTGTGGAGCCTCAGGCTTGCTATCTCTCTTGTTGAAAAGCTATCTCTCTAGCCACCCAAAAGTAGCCAAGCCATGCTGCATCATTCTTGGCCTTCCAATAGAAAGAAACACTTTGGAAATGACACAAGTCATTTTGTTACAGAAGTTCACAAGTAAAGAAGCTAAACTTACAAGGGAGAATCCAATTCAAGCAGATTCCTTAAATGAAATAATATCATTCAAACTCTAAAAATTGTTTTTTGATCCTTTTTATTGAGTTATTGCTGAATTATCTATAGTATCCTCCTTCACTCCCCCAATCCTCGCTCAAGCTCAATATTTTTACTAGGCGTTTGTCAAGATTTCTTAGAATCAGTGGCTATCAATACTAAGCCAATGATTACCCATACCCAGCTCAGCTTTCTAAAGCTTTTATTTGTAGAGCTGGAAAAGAATCCAAGGTTTCAAATCCAAGTGATGAGCCTGTAGTTTATATTGTTAGCCTTGGCAAAATGTTGTAAAATTAATGCTACGACAATTTTTCACAACTGGAATAGGAGAAGATGAGCTGATAAGATGCAGTCTTTTCTGCTAGCCTTTACTGGATTCCCTCTGTGAGACTATGTGTCAATTTTTTGGGTGCTGCACTGAATTATTGAAACCATCCAATGAAGTAAATTCCTCAAGTAAAACATTGTGGCATTTCTTTCAATCCTGCTCAATGCCTCCAGTTTACAGTTTATGCAGCAGAAAAGGTCAGATGCTTCTCATTATTTGCATTTAATCATATGATGCAGCGCATATCAATTGTCCTGTGATCGCATATGTCGAAGGTGCTCAACTTTTTTCCTGAGATCTGCACATCATCTGATTAGCGTTATGTCATTTAAGCGGTGATAACAACTAGAAGCAAATTTGATAAGAAGCGAAATTCCCGTGTAGAAAAGGAATTGCTGGAGAATTCACAACTATACTTTCATTTCAGAATGAAACTGAATTTTGTGTTATTTGCCAACCGTTGCAAAAGTACCAGTTTTGTATTCTCCATCGGAATTCCTGCATGATAATCGACTATTACAAACAACTATTTCGCTAATTATGGCAACAAAGCGTCTTGCATTTTGCACATACTATCATATTTTGAACTGAACAGTTGCCTGGCTATCGCATTAAGTTTCCTGATGTCCTGTTTTATACACCAAATGCGTAAGCAAGAAAATAATAGAAAACATTGAAGATAGATGTCGTGCAATAAGTGTTCATGCTGAAGCCTAGAACTGAATAATCGGACCTGTTATCGATAAACGTCAGTCGATTCCTGTAGCCAAATTTTAAATTACTAATTACCATTGCGAAAAAAATGAAATTGGGAATTTTTTTTGCAATATATGAAATTAGAAACCAGTTAAGGCAAATTCCAAATCAAAAAAGTATCATTCAAAAAAGTGTATGGCTGATGCAGGAATGGTATCACATGAAATACCTTGTCATACAAAATTAACTACTGACGAAACTAACGCAAAATTGAAATATTCGCGATAATCTCATACCCACATTGACATAATACCAACCATGCATTTTACTCATCGATTATTAGATGGAACTTAATCGATTAGATGAAAAAAATTTGACGAAAAACATTATTGTATCTTTCGACTTTTTTGCATTAAAGCTCTGTATTTAAGTGTGTTTTAGTCAATGGACCTGAAAACATCATAATTTTGTAATCAACTTGCTTAATCTCCTTTCGCATAAAGTATTTTTTCAAAATCGAAAATTGAAAGCACTGCGTTAAATTTTAATTGGGAACATTTTCTTAGAGGTTAATATTGACAATTCCTAATTTTTTGCAATAAGGTGCTTTCAATTATATTTTCACATTGTTGAAAAGCAAAATCCGTGCCTTTCAGTGCATGCAAACGAAGAGGTATGCAAAAACCAGAAGTGCAATAAGCTTCTCAAGTATAATATTGAAAAGATATACACATCATTTAATAAAAGTCAATTTACAAAGACAAAATTATTCTATTTACAAACTGCAATGGAATAAAAAAAATGAGCATCTAAAATTTCAATGAAATTCGACGAAATCTCACGCTAGCTGGAAATGTTATGAGCTTCCATGATCATATTGTCAGTACTACATTGACTAACACTAATTTTTCGCAATTATCCTTATGCTACACGATTCAATCACAAACAAACAATTATTTCAAATATCTTTTTATAGACATTTTACAAGAAGATGTCAAATAGCTTCAGTAATCAATCCAAAAGTGGGGGAAAATTCAATTATTTCTCAAATGTCTCTGCAGTTCCTTGTTGAATCTCATGTCTTCAGTGATCTTGTTTTGTAGTTTTTCGTTTACTTCTCTCCATTCAGAAAGCAAATTCTTGATGTAAATTTGGTTGTTTATTTTCTCAATTTGGCAGCATCGATTGAAAGTATACTTGAAGCTTTTGCATTTATTCAGCCTCCGCAGACTAATCAATGATTGCGATGGTTTTGCAGCGGTTACTGGGGACTTCGTTCTCCACTGGCTATCGATTCGATGGGCGTTTCGAACCAGTCGGCTGGACCATCTGCACTCCATGTATCCATGCTTAGCCATTTTTGTGCCAAGCTGACAACATTTAAACTTCCCCCGGTGCACTGAGCCAAGTTGCTCCACCGATCCTCCAACCAATCCTGCAAGTTTCAATTGAAAATGCTTCATTACAGCAAAAATGTTTCAAAATGAGCGCTGAACTGAAAAGCAAAAAAATGAATTTGAAACTATTCGCATAAGTTTTGTGACAAAAAGCGTCAGTTGAATCTCCTATGGGGATCTGAGTTTCCTTGCTCCACTTGTTATTTCTGTGAAAATAATATTGACTATTATCATTTGATTGGTATAAAAAACTAATGAAATTGCGATTGGCAACGCTACCTATGTTCATTCAAGAATATGTTGTCCCACAAGCGTCCGACAAAGCTCCTTTTTTTAAATGGTACTCGTCCAATTAATTCTAGTTCATGGCAATCATAAATTTTTATGTCACAATTAAAGTAACATTGAAATCTTACCTTGTAAATTCAAAACACAACAAAATGTGCAAAGGAACAAGCAGCATATTAGCTTCATTTTGAGTAGAATATCGCATGAAGGATCTCGCTATTGTAAATGCGGCTCTCGAGCAGTGGATGGCCAGACGTTGTTTTGAAATGCTTCTGTTGGTCTTGTTTTGATCAACTGCTTTTAAGGGTTGTTTTGAACACGGAACGCTCCTTTTGTCGTTTATCAATGAAAACCTGTTGAATGGTCCGCAGAGTTCTTCTAATTCATAACCACAAATAAAACCATAACTGGTATCAAATTCTCTTGATAGTTTGACGTGCTTTTATGACGTTTGCGTCATACAATTTTGAGCAAACATGAAAATATCAAAACTTCTTAGCTTAAAAGATAACCCACAATTTAACTTCTTTTTGCAAGGTCGATTATTTTTAATGCTTTTCAATTTCTTCATGTAAATTTCATAAAATATTGATTCCATAAGTATTAACAACCTTTCTTTAAGAATAAATTTTTCTGAACGATCTTACAAAAATGCTATAAAGCCAAGAATAAGGTAAGTTGCAAACATTATGTTATACGCAGCGAACGTGTTGTGAAAAATATGGTTTTTGGCCAGAAGTTTATTTTGCTTTGAATAATTAATCCGAATTTTCTTGTTCATTATGATTGCAAATTATCTTTTGTGCTTGCGCGTGCTGTCATTCAAGTTGTTTACAGAAATTTATTGACCTTAAATATGCAAGTCGCGCGCCGTATTTTTGAGCTGAATATCCTTACCAGCACTGAATCTAGAAGAAAAAGAGCAAACGGGGGTAGCCTTTTTTACTTTTCACCGAATTGATAATCATCACCAAGCAGGATGCATGGGCAGCATTTTTGTTGTTTCCCCCTGACAAGACAGATTTTCATTTAAAGCTGTTGACGTACAGTAGATGTTTTTCTCTACAATGTCATCGTAAAACTTAACCATTAGTTCCTTTTTGCATGTTCATTCATAATCATTGGCCTCAAATTAGAAAAAAACGTCATTAAAAGATGCTTGAGATTGTAGCTCTCTTAACTCAAAAGTACCTCTAAAAATGACTGAGAAAATTGCATTTGTGACAGTCAAGCTAGTCAAACCAATAGATAAGAAGCCACGCTCTAAATACACAAATACCTAAATCTGAAATAAAAAATTGTGAAGTTAACCGCGTTTAAATCATTTGATCAGGGTATTCACCGTTCTAGATAAGATTCATGAAAATATAAAAATGTATGAATAGCATAACAGTTTCTTGAATAGATACTTCCTAATTTTCTAAAGCATAGGTTGTTGAAAAATGAATTTGGACCTAGGGAAAAAATTTGCTTCAAAAACTTTTGTACAAGACCTCTTTAAATATATTGGTGCAAAGATCGGCAGCTCAATTATAATTCATTATTTAGAATTGGTGGACTGAGAAGCAGCTAGAGCACACTTCGGGACTTTGGGTCATTCAAAACAGCCTTATACTTGGCTCGTTGTCAAAGCATAGTCTATGAAAGGCGTTTAGAAAACAAGCTGTCTTTCAAATTACTATTAACAGGCTGT